CTTGCTTCCTCGGGATCATAGTTCTTGATGGAATCACAGCCGTTCCTGGCAGTTCACAGTTGATGGAAATGGCATAAAGGTGTGATTCAAATCACTGCAGATTTGAATCACAATTCTAGGCCATTTTTTAGTATTATATTTCAAGCCAATATCTGATCGTCGGATCGGATAGCCGGGCTGCACATGGATCGAGCTTGTCAACCATCTACGTGGGCCTTTGCCTCATATCGATCGAGACTGGGGGCATCAAAGCTTGTGTATCAGCATTCGGAGCGGATCAATTCGATTTCGAGGATGTGATAAGTTGCACTGTCAACAAAAAAAGCAATGTGACGACCTTGTCTCCTCATGTCTCGATTGAAGTTATCAAACCATTTTTGAAAACCGAGCTTGTCATCAACTTCTTCTTGTTATAAGTGTAGTCAAAGCCAAGGTTGGTTCCATCCTTCTTGTTAAAACATTGCTGTTGACGAGCATGACCAAGAAATAAAGGTGATCTGATATCTGATCCATATGCATTTGCGCACATCGCTAGAGTAATTTGAGTCTTGTTGCAATTTATACCTGACATCTACTTTGTTGCAAGTGTTTTATCTGGTGGCATCCGATAATGAAGTCCGGTTTTGTTCATATTGTAGATGCCACATGTAGCATAATTCTTCATTATCTCTTGCAATTGCTTCCGTGCAACCTCAATATTTTTAGCGGAAATTGAATTGAAATATAGCAGCTTCACCATGCAACAAGACGTAGTTGGATGAATCACATATATTGGATGTTGATCTTCTCTATTTCTGCGATTGTGTGTGATTTCATTGTACATTAAACAAGAATTTGAGTGGTTTCATTGTACATTAAAGAAGATTTTGTTATTGTTGAATCATTATTTTTCATAACACTTATGTATATCTCTAAATGTCAATAGGTAAAATTATTGTTTTGTGTTTGTGTTACAATTTTTATCATGCACAACCGCAAGAATCATGTGTGTGAAAATTAAAACAATTTTTATTACATTTAATGTTAGTGGAGACTAGTACTCTGATTGAATCGGGTTTGGGTAGGATTTGAACTTCAATCCAAACTTGATACCAAAAATAAGTTTGAATTTGGATCAATTTGGGTAGAATTAAAAAAAAATGTGGACAAAAATAAATTTTACGTTTTATTAATTGTAAATCATTTCAAGACACTATTTTTCAAACATCATAGCACTCAAAGTCGCGGGAAAGATAGTGTCGTCACATACTAATCACGTTGCGTCCCTAATTAAAACTATGCTCAACTGCCATTGACAAATATGGTATAAAAAAAATATCCTTTGCAATCGAAGTAACAGAAAACTATTTTTCATGAACATTCAAGTATTCGAGCGGATCGATGGATCTTCATATCGTAAGAACATGTATATGTCGACCTCATCTTATGTTTCATTATCCGCATTGCAATAAGCAAACATGCCCAAAAATATAGTTGGTTGTTGAGATTCATGTGACTGAATTTATCTCATCGATGCCACAAACTTTTGCAACTTTTGATTTTGTTACAAATTTCTTTGTTGAAGATGAAGAGGTTTATGAAATTATTGACTTTGGAGTATGTATATAATTATCATCATCCAATAAAATTTCAAATCTTGTCACTGCAAAAAAAAACTTCATGTTCATTTTACAAATCCGAGCCAACAATATGACTAATGATAGGTAGGTTATGGGCAATTCGTTTCCCTCTATTGTTGAACCGTGTTGTTGTCAGTATATAACTACAACGTTCGCTTTGTTGGAGTTTAGTCTTCATTATTGATATTGATCAAGTGTCGCACATCCTAACATTCGTATGAATCTCGCCAATTAAATGATATGAAGAGATGAGAAAAGCGATGGACAAAGTCGTACGAACGATTCAATCGTGTGGGGAGCTCTATTCGAAGGAACACAACTTGCTAAACATTGCTTGCAAAGATGTTGTTAGCTCTAGCGTATGGTGACTTCTCTGGAGCATGAGCAATAAAAGAAAAAAGTCAAGAAAGAGTATTATTTATCTATCAAGTATTATTAACGAGCGTAAATAGAATCAGAGATTAACAATATATGAGAAAGTATATCTTATTATTATCATTATTATATTGTTGATTATCATTGTTACTTTAGGGAATTAAAAAACAGAGATGAGATGACGGAAGAGTACGATAACGCTTTGTCTACATATAGCTCCGTTAAAGATCTTGCACTGATCAAACATTCATTGACTCATACTCATTGATTGAAATTGTTTCTAAATTTCTTAATATTTGTCTACATATAGCTACGCTAAAAATCTTGCATTGATGGAACTGTCACTGGCCCATCCTCATTGACTGCAACTATCTCTGAATTTCTTGATCTTATACTACGAGATCAAAAATTCATCAAAAATCAAGATCAAGATCAAAAATTCATCCGAAGAGTCAATCAAAGAGTACACAAAAGCTTTGGAAACTGCAATCAATAAGATGGATGAATTAGGAGAGGATTCGTAGAAGAATAACATCTTGCGAAGTAATCTGACTTAATTTCATGATACACAAAAAGAGATTGAACTCCATCAAGGTTAATGCGTCATAGTGTGCCACACTCGGTCGCTTTTATTTTCATCAAATACAGAATTTCGGATCGGGTACATCGGGTATTTTTGGATTTTACCAGAATCTCATATATATATATATATAGAGAGAGAGTGGAAACAAATCTATATTTTCTCCAAGTCTCACTACTTTTTTTCCCAAGTTATTTGCAAAAGCTTTTAGCTATTGTAAAGTGTTTTAAAGTCATGCTTACTTAATCATGACTCACGGCTTTCATACTTAATTTAGGTCTTAAATATTGTTTTTATTATTTTTATTTAGATTTTGTACAATTATGAACAACTATGTTGTTCATGTTTTGCACAAGAATGGCAGGAAAACACGAATTCAGGTCAAAAGACAATCTAACCGTCAGAGCTCGATGAAGACAGCTGTAATTTGTCGACTGATATCCGAATATAAGTATAAGTAATGCATAAGTAACACGCTAATCTCTATCTTCTCGTTTCTGAGTACAAGAGGGTGGCTGGGTTCAATGCCTATTTCTTTTCTGTGTTGTTAAACTTTCATAAACGGCATGCATGCGGGGAAAAGAAAACAAGTAAAATATGTATCACATTATTAGCTTGTAGAGGATTCAACGGAGTTTATATAGAAAAGTAATCAACATAACAGATCAAGCAATATATGGATGGAATAAAAAAAACTCAAAATGTGACTATGTACTGTTAATAGAAATAGAAATAGGCTCATAAATAATATCAAGATATTTGCACTATCAGCATATGATGGTGTCCAAACACCGAACATATCACAACACTCCCATCGATCGCTTTAGTGATTTTGTAGAGATATGGTTCGAATCGAACAAGAATTTGAGATATTTAATTTTCCATACAATCATTCAATATTATATTGCAAGAACCTTCAACTGCCATACAAATATATGTATGGTTTAGATATTGCCCAACAATAAGGAAAATAAGTCGGTCAACGGGCAGTTTCTCCTGAAGAGAGGAGCGGACCATGTGGCTTTGAGCTTGCCTCAACGACCTCTCATGCACAGCGCGTTAAAACCCCCAGGTAAGGAAACAACGGTGAGGTGCTGAATTTGTCGCTTACCGGCAAGTGATATAGCAAGATGAAACCGCCGGTCAAGAAGCAGGACGGAGGGACCCTCTGAGAAGATAAGGTTCGAATTCCGGTGCCTCTCACTTCACAGTCGACTCGAAAGTCAAATTCGAGACAAAGTCGTACCGTTGTCTGCACTCTCTGCCCGAATACTCCCTCCCGAAGGTCCATTCGCTCTCACCAGCATCTTCCGGGAATCCTGTAACTTGACGGACCGGACAACCGCCACTGACTGGACCAGAGCAAGCGTTCGCGCTGAAGTTGCAGAACCGTACGTCTTTCTTCGATGGACGAGGCCAATCTGTCGTGCACATATTGCGAACATTCGACCGAACGGCAGCTTTGCCCGAGCCTGAAGTTGACAGTGAGTTGTCGTGCGGGCGGGCAAGGGCATCGAGTCGCCCTTGTGGAAAACGCCAGGTCGGTGCCAGGGTTGTTCCCGAATCTGAGGCAACGTCAATCCGGCCTCACGATTGGGTCCCTAGCCTGGAGGTTCGGGAAAGCAGAAGCCCACCCGAAGCGCTGGCCCCCGACCGTGCACTTTTCCCGCTCCTCCGCCCCGGAATCTCACATCTAGCATTGCATGCGAAGATCCACGGCTCTTGTGTAACGTTCCCCTTTCTCTCGTACCCGCGATTTATATTGCCCAAACGATTAATTAATGTACTAATTCTCCACTTTTTCTTGCTCTTCAACAAATTCTTTATTTATTCGTAGCTCTCTGGCTGTGAAACTTCCACAGCGTGTCGATTTATAAAGGGAAAAGTTCCAATGCCTTGGGATGGGGGGGAAAAACGGAATGATTTTGTTTGCTGGTTGCTTATCGAAGAGCAACACGTATAGCCCGAAAAATTCCACGGTGGAATTTTGTTGTTAATTGGCCGTGTATGACACGTCATCTAGGTAAATGACACGTCAGACTGTCGATGGTAGGCGAAAGTCTTTAACGTGAAACATTCACGCTGTCAGCGGCCAGGGCCGAATCCGAGGCGAACGGGATCGAGGCCCGGCGGCCCCTCCGAGGCGAATACGAGGCGGAGGTGGCAGAGAGAGAGAGGCGCGTCATTAGTAAGGGCCGGACCGGAGGGAGGGGCGTCTCCGTGGCAGCTCCATTCGCTCCCGCCGCGACAGATAGCAGAAGCAGCGCTATTTTGACCCGGGACCGTAAGCAGGCGACAGGCGGCGACTCCGAGTTGTCGTCTGCGGGGGGGGGGGGGGGGGGGGGGGGGGAGCCTAGTCAGCAGTCAACCGAGAGCGCACGGAAGGCCGAGGGGAGGGGGCCGAGGGCCCAGTCCTCGATTCTATTGGCCGCACTGACACCAAATGCGCTCGACGCGAAAGCCCGATTGAAATAGAAAAGTCGACAATTGGGACACGAAATTGGAACCCGCGCAGGAAAGCGGAGCAGAACGTTCTTCAGGGCGAGAGAGTCGTCGGCCCAGAAGTGCAGGCCGAGGGGCGAGGGGCGAGGGGCGAGGGGCGAGGAGGTCTCTGAGAAAACTGTAGAAGTCTCGGTGGATTCGGTTCCGGTGCGCACTGTGGATTGTAGTCATCTTCAACGGAATGAATGATGCACGTCCGAGCAGTGGAGTGCTATGTTGTGCCTGAATTGGTGGGATCTGTTTATCTGAGCACTGTCAGTTTGTGACGAGAGGGAGAGGGAGAGGGAGAAGGAGTGCGACGGAGAGCGACGAGGGAAGGAAGGGAGGAAGGAAGAGCGCAGAGGAGGTTTCAGCTTCTGCGCAGGGCCGGCGTAATCAATCTGCAGAATTCTCGGAGGGGATTGTTCCGGGGTCAAAAAATGAGCGCAGGTGCTGTAGGAAGTTCGTGTTGTCGGCAGGAAGCATCTCGGGAAGGAAGGAGGGAGCGAGGGAGGGAGGCGTTGACGAGCATCATCTGATTATTATGTACACGACGATAATGGGAGAAGGAATCCTCGTCACGGGCTTGGGTCTTGGTGAAATGCAGCGGGCGTTTGTTCGTTGTTGTTGACAGCGTTTGTGGAGTTGGGAGATTTGGGGACGAATGGAGCCGAGACTGGTATGTATGGTGGCCTGCGATTGAGTGGTGAGGGATCGGACGAATCTGGCTCCGGCAGGAGACATGATTTTCGATGCTCGGTCTGTTTGCAACGATGGCCGGCCAGCGGAACGAGCAAGGGCAGTGGTCTGTTGTGTAAGCGTAGAAACAGCAGCAGCAGCAGAGTGATAGATTAAGGAAGGCTACAGAATGCAGCTCTATGTGCAGGTTGTGGAGGCCCGGAATCTCATTGCCAAGGATCCGAATGGGTTCAGCGACCCCTTCGTGAGGCTAGCTCTCGGCGCCACCAAGTCTAGGACTGTGGTCGTGCACAAGAATTTGAATCCCTCATGGCATGAAGAATTTTTCTTCAATGTCTCGGATCTGGACGACGAGCTCAAAGTGACCGTGTGGGATCAGGATAGATTCTCGGACGATTTTCTCGGCCAGATGAAGATTCCAGTCTCGCAGGTCTTGAATGCCGACAAGCAGACCCTCTCCAACAAGTGGTTCCCCCTCCAAAAGCGCAGCGAGAAGTCGAAGAACGATGTTTCAGGTATGAATTCTGTCAGTTCAGATCAGCTCATGCATGTGCATCTCGAGAGAATCCTCGAGTTTTATGGTGGAAGTAGCGAAGCATGTCCCGATTGGTTTGTTTCCTAATAATGAAACATGGCGGTGGGAAGGTGGGCACAATTCATGCTATCATGTCGGACTGGATAAAATCTGGCTTTTGGGGTTTTGGGGGCATGGGGTTTCAAGAGGTGTACTAGTTGGATGCCTCTCCTTTCTATCACAGCCAGCACTGCCAGAATGCGGTGCTTTTTGCAAGACCGAGGTGAAATGTGGTAGATGTCAGAAACTCATATGAGTTCGACAGTGTGCGATGGAATTCTGCTGCTCATGCTTCTTCAACACTGACACAATTTCGTATTGCAGGAGAAATAAAACTAGAGGTGTCTTTGATCGGTCGCAAATTCAATAATGATTTGGAAACGCAGCCATCTCGAGGATCAGCGAGAGTGAGTCCGTCCGCAATGTCTCCACCACGCATGAGCCTCGATAATAGGTTCTCTTCCGGGAGGACAAGCGTCGATGATGCGTCCAGCGTCCATCGCTCGAGTTCCACAGCTTCTTCTGAGGCCGGAGATATGGTCGGAGATCTCGATACTGTTCCGCTCTTGCAATCGGAGTCGCCTCGAATTCGAGGGCCGACTGTGATGAACCCTGACTCTCCTCTGGTGCGAGAGGCCGCTGATTTGGACAAGAGTCTGAGAAAGTCTCTATCAAACAACCCTCTAGCCGGGAAATTCTCGTCCATATTTCACAATCGACGCCGCAGGTCGAAGAAATACTCAACAATCTCTCCTTCTTCTTCTGTGAGCTCCTCCACATCTGCCTCTCTGATTTCGGGCGCCACCACTCCCACCGAATCCAGTATGTTGGGAGATCACAGCAGCGAGAGTGGCGACGAGGATGAGGAGCTGGTGCCGCTCTCTTTCTTCCAGGACGACGAGAAAAGCGTCGGTGAATCTCCGGAGGATTTGCCACCGCCACTGCCGCAAGGCATTCTGTTGGACCAGCCCTACGCAGTGAGCATGAAGGAGATGAATGCCCTCATTTTCAAACCAGAGTCGCCTTTCATAAAGCAATTGGGTGAAGTGCAGAAAACCACGGAGTACATTGAGAATCCATGGAAGAAATGTGGCAGCGATCCGATGAAGAGAACGATCAGTTACAGGAAAGCTCCGACCGCGTTGGTCAGTGCGGTGGTTGCAGCTGAGGAGCAAACATACCTGAGAGCAGACGACAAGGGGTTTGCTGTTCTGTGCGTTGTGGCCACTCCCGACGTTCCTTATGGCAAGTGTTTTTTGTGTGAAGTGCTATTTGTGATCACCCCAGGTCTTCCAACAGAGACTGGCGAGAAAACCTGTAATTTACAAATCTCTTGGCGATTGAATTTTGTACAAAGCACGATGGCCTCTGGCTTCATTGTCAAGGGAGCTAATGGAGGTCTCAAAGAGAGTTTTGCTGTTTTCGCCGAGGTGATGTCGCAGTCTGCGAAGCCTCTCGATGGAAGTGTCGGGAAGGTGGTGAGTTTGGGGTCCGATGTGATACCGAGGACCGACTGGCAACTTGCCAAAGAGTATTTTGGCAACTACACAGTGTTATTGACAGTGCTTGGTCTCCTGTTCGTCCTCCTCCACATCTTCCTGTCCAAGACGAGGGCAAGACAAGGGCTGGAGTTCTGGGGCGTGGACTTGCCTGACTCTCTGGGAGAGTTGTTGATTTGTGCCCTCATCACCCGTCAAGTCGAGCGGGTGGGAAGGATGGGGCAGAAGTTCTTACTGGCCAGATTGAAAGGTGAACTCTTTCGTTGAGACATGTATATTTTTTCTTTTGGGTTCCTTGTTCGCTGTAGATATAGATGGGTACATACGTCTTTGAATGAAACTCGCCTGAGAAGCTCACAAGTGAGAATCTAAGATGAACCACTGTCGAAGGCACTCGTTCAAATAGGTTGAATAGGTGTAACTCGAAAATGTAGATGGCTTTGAAGTAGATTCCTTCATCTAGTGCTTATGAAAATTTGTTCATTTTATGAGTGCAAAAAGCTTCAAGATTTCACTCCACAAGAGTCAGTTCTCGAGCTGCTCATTTGAGCATCCTCAACAGTTGATGTGATGCGGCATCTTTTTAACTATTATTGTTTGGATGCAACAGCTAATGATCACGGAGTAAAAGCGCAGGGTGATGGGTGGTTACTCACCATCGCTTTGGTGGAAGCAGAGAACCTTTACTCCCTTGACACAGATAATTCTTGTGACCCGTATGTTGTCTTTACCTGCAATGGGAAGATCCGCACCAGCTCGGTTATACTAGGAAGTTGTAAACCCCAGTGGAAAGGTAAGAATTCTCTAGCGATACTGATTGTGATGTGTCCTATATAATAATCTAGCGTGCTATGTAAGTTCTGTTGACCGTGAGCTGTTGAAGTATATTGTCATCTCCAGAAACTTGTTCACAAAATTGGGCAAATTATCAACTCGATCACCATGTCAAACTTGTCTTCGTGTAGGCTTCTTTCTTATGTTCAAGTCTACCATGTTTATGTGGTATCTGATTTTTCTCATGTGTTCATTCCGCAGAGGTGTACGAGTTTGATGCAACAGAAGACCCTCCTTCAACTCTAGATATAGAGGTTTTTGATTATGATGGTCCTTTCTCTCAAGCTGAGTCTCTGGGCCACGCGTCTATCAACTTCCTGAAGACAAAGGAAGGAGAACTTTCTGATATGTGGCTGCCCTTGGTGGGGAAAATGGCAACAGTTCACGGTTGTAAGATTCACTTGCGGGTTGTGCTGACGAATACCAAGGATGTTGACTTCACTAAACAAGAGTATATGGGGAAGGTTGAGAAAGAAGCAAATACCAAGGTATTAACTGCATGTCTCTACTTGGAATTGTTTGGCTAACGCTGTGTGATGACGGATGATCACTCTAAGGATGACAATTTTTCATCGTTTGTCTACAGAGCAGATGTGGTCACAATAATTTAAAAAAAAAATAGGGACTCCTATTCATGGTTCTGTATGTGGGTAGCAGTCGCTTCGTTGTGTCCTCAACATGTATATTTCTATGGAGCTGGTTAGGTTTTGTTTCGTTTGATCGTGTTCGATTATGGCTTGCTAACGTGCGTTCGTGACGTCTCTTACTTCTATCAGCTAGTCAAACGCTCACCAAAGCTGAACAGTCAGTTTCAGAAGCTGTTCGCCTTGCCTTCGGAAGAGTTTCTTATCAACGACTACGCATGTGCTATCAAGAAGAAGATCCCGATTCAAGTATGTCACGAACTTCAATAACTTCGCTTAATTTTACCGCATCATTTTGCAACTTTGTTCTATTTTTCATCTTTATTTTATATTTTTTTTTGTTTTTGCTTCCTCGGGAGGGAGATTGAATAGGACCCAAATAGTTGGTAAGTGTTGTACAAAGATGCATTCATGTCGTAGGCACTGAGTCACGGCCCAGGATCGAAGGGATTTGGAAGAATACTTTGAAAAAATACTTTGCAAGTGCTGGCCATATTTTACATTTGTTAATCTGTGGACACTATCTCTTTAATGCAGGGACGTCTTTTTCTTTCACCTCGTCAGCTGGGATTTTATTCCAACTTGTTTGGACATAAAACCAAGTTCAGTTTTCTGTGGGAGGATATTGAGGAAATCAAAGAAGTTGCTCCATCTCGCGGAGTTTTACTGTACCCGTCGATCACTATTACGCTGAGGAAGGACAGAGGTCATGATGCGCGTTCAGGTTCTAAAGGAGTTGATTATAAAGGCCGTCTGAGATTCCAGTTCCTTTCTTTTGTGAAACCTGGGCCTGCATTCAGGTATAATTGGAACTTTGCAAGATGTCCCAATATTCCATTTTAGACATATGCATTTAGGCATATTCCTTGAATGCCAAGTTTTAATTTACCTGGTCGGTATGTGCAGGACGATAATTGCTTTGTGGAAAAATAGGACACTCAGTGTCGAGCAACAGATGGACCTGATAGCTAGTGTAGAGGCAGGAGATGGTATGAAATACGCTGTGGCGGATCGGCAGAGGCAAGTTGACGAGAATCAGGCCTTCTTAGGAGTTGAAGACGCTCACATGTCTGAACTGGCCAGCATGGACTCATCTTTAACTGTAAGTCGAGTTACTGAATCTTTCCAAAATATCATGCCTGAAAATCTTTGATCCTTGTTGGAAGGAAATGTTAGAAAAATGTAACAGATGTTATCCAAGATTCACCTACACAAATGTGAGGAAAGAGTTGTTTATTGACATTTCCATGTCTCGTGGACTTACAGGTTAAGCAACTTCACTATCTGCTCGAGAAGGGCGAGCTTGATAAACACGTTATGCAATTGTTTGGTGTGAACAATTACAAGAGTAGTCACTGGGAGATGGTAAGTTGCAACGTCTAGCTTTACTGTATCTACCAATATGCAAGCTCAACTCCAGATACGGATTATCATTTCGAAAATTCTGATATTTGATATCTGATTGTACTATAAATACTGAATAAGTCAAAATGCTATCATCACAGGTTGGTGATGACCCGAAGGTGACAAGGCGACAAGTGAGCTACACTTTAAATCGACAGCAGTGTCGTTTTGGCAGCGCAGTTACCAGTATACAACAAAAAACAATATCCGATGACACAAAGACCGGGTTAATCGAGGAGGTGATGACTTTGCATGATGTGCCGTTCGGTGATCACTTTCAGGTACTCGGGATTTCTCTTTTCTGCATTTTACATTAATTAATTAAAGTCCTTTCTGTTGATTCTGTGCATTACGTTGCAATTGTTGACAAATATCGTCAACCATCACAGCGGTTCGTATTAAACTTATACGCATTGCACGGTCTTCCCTCTATGCAGGTTCAAGTGCGCAAAGAGATTGAAACTACATCAGATGAGCCCCCTGTCACCCATTGTAAAATCTACGCTGGAGTAGCTTGGCATAAAAGTGCTGGGTTTCAGAAAAAGATCACGAAGAATATTCTTCGGTATATGACCCAGTTTTTGAAAGACTATTCTGAGCTGGTAAAAAAGGTAGCGTCTGTTGCTCCTCCAGAAGTAATGGATTGAGAAGAAGACACTGCACCCACATGCAAGCAGACACGTCGTTACCAGCATCAGTTCAAATCTCTGCTATGGGAGAGATACTGCCCTTGGAGTTGAAAATCTGTTCTCTTTCCCCTGCTTGTTCTGTGCCGAAGGCAGAGTTTCCCTTTCTAAGTATATAATCACAAGTGGGGGTTAGACCTTGTCAGCTGTTCAATCTTAAAGACAGAACCCGGGGGACCTTAGTTGCCATGCAAAAATGCTGCCGCTGGGAGGGACGGTTAGGGAGGCGTATGGGGTGAACACTTGCCGCTATACTGAAGGATGTCGCCAGTATAGAACCAAGAGGTTAGTGATGAATGAAATCTCAGTTCGGACGAGCTATTCTGGGACAAAGAAATTTGTTCTCCCCTTTAGTTGTAGGAAAATCCATTTACCAGATATCAGTAGACAACTCATTCTTTTATTTAAAAAGATAAATCATCACGATTTTTCTGTGTAGCCTCTTTGTAACATATGTTCTCTCGAGGTAGAAATGTCATCAATAGAAGGCAGAAGAAAAGACGGATCATAGACAAAGCCTGAAGTTCGAAGTGATAGATAAAATAATAAAAGATGAAAAACTTCCGTTAGTTTGATCAGGTCGGAATCAAACTGGGAAGCCATATATCTATGTACACCACATTGTGTTTCTGAGCTGTAAATCTAATCCAGTTCACATTCTGGATGTAGAAACTTTCACGAAGAATACGCTGTACCTTTCAGCGGCTTTCTTTCACTTCTGTAATTTACGGTCGTAGCATTGATGTATGAAGCACAAACGATATAGAAAAGCTATAGATCTGTGTTTCTTAGGAACCATGGTCTTCATGTCGTCTTTAATTGCTGTTATTACTGTATGTGGCAAATGTGTGAAATGTTCTGAAGCGTTTAGCTCAACTAATTGACATCATGACTAGGAATTCTTTAGTCAAAAGTTTTGCCCGAGAATCATCTACTTCCCCACCATGATACCATGTGCAATAAGTGAGTTCTGAATCCGCCCACCATCTAGGAAGCCTGTAATTTTCTTAGTGAAATTCTGAAAACAGAGATGCGTTTTATAAATCGGATTCGCCATGGACGTGGACTTCAGTTTACTTTTTTGGCGTTTGCGTAATTCATGTTTGTGAGTATGGAGAAATTGGACAGTGTTTTACATTATGATAGTTTGCCCGATCATGCCATCGGCATGATGGAGAGTGAACACAGATGTCTTTGAATTTATTTCACTTGAGGACCTGTTCAACCAAATGAAAGTTACTTCGCAATCTGCAGAGAATAGTATATCCTCTGCATTCGAGTCCTGGGACCCCCATAAGAATCTTCATTTGCAGACGATGTTGTGGTTGGTCATTGTTTCACTCGAGTCAAAATTGGGCTGAGTCCTTCATCCACTAACGGTCTTCCCCTAGAATGTACCCAACCGAGATCCAAACAACTATCCAAGCTAGGCAATGATGTATTCGTATTGCGTCAGTGTTAGGCGAGTTAAGGATCCTTGTTATTCTTGTACATGTTTTTTAGATTGGTTCTCTTGTCTCTATCACTCCTTTAGTTTACATTGTGCTAGAATATTGCGCTTTATTTCTGAGGAAAACTGAACTGAATGAATCTGAGTGGAATATAGGTGGAGTGTCTCCACCTAGAATGTGCCACCATCTCTCTCTGTCTCTCTCTCCATACTTTTATTTGTTTGTATTTATAAATTCATATCCATGCAGTGTTTGATTCAGTCACCTTTGTGGTTAGGTGCTACCTCCATATGGAGTACAGGTACCAAACACTACGTGCTAGTTTTGACTGAAATACAGATGCGCATTGGCTCCACTTTCACCTCTAGTATATGTGTCCCTTTCACCTAGAGTAGTGGCACGATTATACATTGACATTTCAATTTTACTCGTCAATAATTCTTTCGCCATAAAAGTACTCTGCCAGATTTAGAGGTTAAGAGTCACAAGTGATTGGACCCACTGTTATAATTCTGCCTGGGTATGCTAGCCTAAGAAAACCTATCTCATATTTATAAGCTTTCTGCGAGGTGCACTAGGAAAGTATTTATGTTTTCTAAGGTTTATATTGACGTCAATTCAGAAGTCCAAGAACTCGTGTATGAAAATTAATTGTGGATCGATGTGTTGAATGTAGTGTTCCTTCTTTAGCATGTCTTCACTTGAGAGATGAATGGCGCACTAATATCATACCACTAGGTTGGAGCAGCATGTACCTTTTGTAAAATCATATGCTTTTCTAATAAAATCATCAATTGAGCTCAGCCTTACTCACATAATGTGACGACCAAATTCTCCGCATGATAAGAGAATGTTGACATCATAGAATGCTTTGTTGACTTCCCCAAAATCAGTATTTTCTTGTACATTGAAGATATGATCATTCCAGAATCTTCTCTGTGGGGTTACAAAGGTAGCTTGTATCTTTATATCCAATGATCTCATTGCTTTTTCTAGCCTTTTTAAAACAACTCATGTTGTGAGTCCTTTTGAGCTAAGGTAGGATATATTTTACTCGGCTCTATCCATTCTTGATATGCTTATCTCTCAAGCAACCTAGTACGATCACGACAAAACGTCATGCCTAGAAGGATGAAATTTATAAGTTGAATGAGTGTTCTGATAGATGTAATCAACTATTTGTGACATGAATATCACAAGTTGAAGCAGAAAAAATTGCAGCATTATCATCAAATTTTCTCAAATAGATAACTAACTGCTAATTAAAAAATTATCAGTTTCAGTTTATGCATTTATTCTATTTTTAGAGAATTATTTAAATATAATATTCTAATTTTTATATTTATAAAATTGACATCGGAGTTTTTATTCTATGCAAACTTGTGAATATTATATTGAAATACATAAAACTTCCGTCTATGGTTTTCAGGCATGATTTTCTATTTTATTTGTCAACACGATTCTTTAGATGTGGTCAAAATAATAGATAAAGTCGATTTATACACTCTCATTTTTTCAGGCTTTTTTTCAGAATATAGATTTTTAAAATATTTTTACGATACATTTTACAATAAATATTCAAAAGACTGTAATTCTAGACTTGAAAGATCATTATGTGCACATATCATAACATTTTTTAGCTTGAAAAATCCTGTAAATCCAATAAAGACAGAAATGACCGTCATTTCTGTCTATATTTCATGTCAATATGTTTAAATTGAAACTTTTCATTTATGATCGATCATCTTCTGTAAATAAAAATTCAACAAATCATCGAAGTTTACAAACATAACATAATTGAATCCAAAATTTAGTACGTTGTACTTTCATCGTATAACATCAAAAGAAAATCCTTATACATTACACGCAAACTTCGTTTGACATTTCTTACTGATTTGTTGACTTCAACTATGAAAGCATACATGAGATATCTTTGATCAATTTGTGTACATCAGATTATCATTTTCTTTTTAAATAGGCATTTCATTCAGTTGCATTGAACGTATCATTCTACAATATGAATACACCTACATATAAATATCTATAAAGCGTATGATATGAAATTAGTCAAAAAATGAGATACGGACTTGAAATCAATCTGGACTTGAAATCAATCTAAACTTTGTGAACATTGTTTCTACTTGAGAATGAGATGTGACTACCAATAAAACTCTCTCCCTCTCTCTCTCAAAACATGGAATTCTTGGTAGACTGATGTCATAATATTCCTTGACAGCATTTGACTAGAAACATGGTGATAGTGTCAGAACAGACTGACAAATGGACATTAATTATCATAACTAATTCATACGAGGTGGAGCATTAAGATATGTTGACTCGAACTTTAATCTTTTTTGGACTGGAAAAACCTTTCCATTTTCTAGATGTGTGAGACACCCTTCTGCATGCATGCAGATGAAAAATATCTGAAAACCTCTTGACACATCGTCATGGAGCTAAGCCCCATGACAAAAAGAAATTCCGAGGGGCTAAAGAGATTTTCCCTCGTCAAGACACGGATTGGGCACAACTCCTGTAGTCTCGAACCAAGAGCACGACATTATATACAATTTCTTCGATGAAGGATTCGATTTGGATGGTTTAGAGCATGTTCCAATTCGCAGCGAGACGATTCAGCTCTTCCAAGGGCTTGGATGCCCACACAGGACCCCAATGGCATTTCCGACATTTATGTCTGCTTTAGTGGACGCGTTGATTCTTTCAGATTTTGCCTCAAGAAAAACCTTGGCAATCCAAAATGTTATGAGGTCCCTAGTCCGCTTAAATAATGGGATTGAAAACCTCGAGAAGTGAATATTTCTCGCCATAAATGGTCCCAAGCTCACCTAATCTGGTTCAAAATGTTGGAGAATTCTGATTATTGTTTGCTTTTCGGAACGATCAGTCTGTTGTCCACGTTGAAAGTCACAGCTCCGTAGATTCTCGCCATCATTATTGTACCATCATCATTGCGGGAACATATGGTGTGAACGTTACTGCCATTGTGACATTCTCCTTGGTCATTACTACATGCGACTCTGATCGCCTTCAATCAATACTCACTCAGACGCCATTGATACCGCCACAGATTTACGGCACACACTCACACACAAGCAAGCAAGCAAGCAAGCTCATTGATTCGAGCACCAGTTCAGCACTCGACCTGACCCCCTCCAACAGACCAAATGTCGATATGAAATATATGCCAGAGGCCCAAATTCACGTGAGACTTCAGACTTCAGAATCCTGCTTCTTCGAGAATGGATGTTGCTGCTTCTCGTAAAGTACACAAAAAGTAAAATTCAAGGTCATCGCAGTCTGTGGAGAACATGAAATCTGTGCCAAGCCTTGGATGATGATCTCAAGTGTAGGTGCTCGCTCAGTCAGTGCAGTGCTGTGCTGGCCGGGGGTGGTGGCGTGTGAAGAGAGATGAAGGTGATCGGGCCCCAGTCGCCTGATACTGACCACATACGTGATACTGAATGATGATGATACTTGTGATGATGGTCGGCACAAATACACAGATTTGTGGGAATGCTGGAATTATGCATCGACTGACTGACTGGAGTCGGACATGGGGAGGAGGCCTAATGAGTCATGAGAGATACAATGTGCGAGAAGATGGAGATGGCCATGGCATCTCGATTGGCCTTGGTGAGGGAGAAGATCGCCACGTCCGAGCGGGTTCTGATTCTCGCCACTTGCACGAGGTCTTTGCCGAATTTGGGAACGGGGATTGTACCGAGCACGAGTGTGGAGGATGATGATGACGCAGACGCAGAGTTGAGAATGTCGCAGACTGCAGGGAAGAAGCTGGAGCTGAAGAGCTCCATCTTTCCGACCTCGTCGATCACAAACAGCCTGTTGCTGCTGCTGCTGCTGCTGCTGCTGCTGTCGCCCACGTCCTCTCGTTGTGCAATCTCCTGCAGCTCTGGAAGCACCAAGCTCTCGAAACTCCTCACATCCACGTTATACTTCCCGACCTTGGCTGCTGCTGCTCTCGTCCCAGCAGCGGACGATGATGAAGAGAAGGGGAATATGGAAGCTAGCGATGCCGAGCGCCCATCGACGGTGACGGCCTCGAACCCCACTCGCTGGCCCGCCGAATCCCTCGTCTCGCGTGTGTAGAATCCTCGCATGTGCAGATTTGGGTACTCCCTCCTCAATCTCTCGAGAACCTTCATGATGAGAGTCGTCTTGCCCACTCCCGGTGGACCTGTCACGAAGACCAGGCGCTTGCTCGCCATGCCTGCTGCTGCCTCCATCCTTCCTCGCTCTCGTAAATCTGAACTGAACCCCAAATCCTCCCTCCGTCTCGAGCTCGCTTGTCCACTTCCGCAGATCCTCCCTCCCTCGTCCTTGTGTCCACCTTTGGAACCCTAACTTTCGCTAATTATGGCAGAATGTGGCCTCAGATCGAGCGTTTGTAAGCTGAATCGAAAGCACGTCCGTCCTCGCAGATGAACATGAAGAGGTCAGGTTCGATGTTCGATGGGTCGAGGACCGAATTTCCTTGTCCTCTCGACTGAGAAGAATCGCTGCGAGTCTCATCTCGTGTAAGTGAGCGACGGCTTCGTTGCCACGACAGGAATTTTGTGAGCTCAGTCGGTCTCCCTCCCTTTCTCCCTCCCTGATCGAACTGAGCATTCATTCACCGACTGTAATTCATGGACTTTTCATGGTGCATGATCGAATCAGACTCCTACTTGGAACCGATCCGAAGAGATTGCGATCGATCAGTGCATATGAAGGAATGTAGTCTCATAAGGATATCGTTAACTCGAGACAATGTCACCTTGAGGATTGTTAGATCGATCTCTCGAATGTCATCCATCGTCCACACTTCTCGAACAGCAGCTGAGTTACTTCGACAGACACATTTGGTCGTCATCAGGAATGTAGGAATCAATCAATGAAACGCAGAGGATGTTCTTCACCAACATTGGAATTACTGAACTCATCTGTCGATTAATTTAGTTTATTGGCGCATGAAGGTCAGACTGAAGCCTTGGGACGGATATTCCAACCGCCAACCAGAGCCAGAGCTGTCAGCGAGTGCACGAGTCTCGAGAAACGTGCAAATCTATCCAACCCGCACCCGCACTATCTTTCTGCATGCCTCCTGTTGCCATGCGTGATGCGAACTCATGTTGGACGATGCCGGATTCGGACGTTTGGGTCGTGCTCTACTCACTCGTCGAAGGCCACAACTTTGATCGCAGATCATCCGGGCCAGCTCAATCGCACCGATCGCACCGCACTGCACCATAAATTCGGTAGCCGAAACGATATGGTAGGTTATCGCTCTGTACCTGATCGATCGACGGATTCGAACTGGAATTCATTCCATCGCGTTGCATCCCGAGTCCACATTGCACCCCAGCCTCCGTGCAGGCAGGCAGACAGCCCCGCACGCCCCTCGAGGCGATGCGATGCGAGGCTCGACCAGATTGCCTACACGCACAGGTCTCAGTGCTGCTGATCTTTCCCGCTTCGACCCCCACGAATCAGAATTCACCCAGGTCCACACGCGGAAGGAAGGAAATCCGCTGTTTTATAATGTGGATGAAAATCAGCAGATCGGTATCATGGCACGATAAAGCTTTCTGCATTATCTTGCTCGTGCAAATTGATCTTCTCATGCCATGAGTCCCGTGGTGAGCGGGGAGGGGAGCTTCATGGATCTATGTTAGATTCGCACTCGGAAACACGTCCGAGCAATTGTTAGAGACTGATTCGACATTCGACATGTCCTGATCTCATCTCATCTCATCTCCTGCACTGGGCTTCTGGCTGCAGGAAGTACCTTCCTGCCCGAACATGTCAAGGCTCCATGTACACAACGCATCAGGCCTCCTGCTGCGGCTGCTGCAGCTGCAACCTTCAGGGCTTAGATTGCAAGCCTTTTTGACTGCGACGGGCGTGCCTTCATTGGTATGTGCATCGTCGTCATACAGGCGTAGCTGCCGAGCTCGGTCACGTAGCTGGCTAGATCTGTACTACGATGCAGAATACATTGGACTGCGACTACTGAGTTGCAGCTGCAGCCAGTGTACTGTCCGTCTCGTTAGGCAGCGGATGCCACCATGACGACGACGACGACGACGACTCAATGATCTATAAATGAAGTCAGCTCAGATTCAGCTGACCTCGTACGATACTTGGCCATCAGTCCCTCCTCCCTCAATACCCCATGGAATCATGAACATGACGCAGCTGGGTCCATGCGTCGCCCAAATCCGATCACTCGACTACCAAAGCCTCGAAGCTGTGCCGATCCTTCCCAGCTCAGCTCAGTGCAGCAGATGGACAGTGCTTCCAAGCAACCACGGACTCGATCTGCTGACCAGACCCAGTCGCGGATCGATCGTTCGTTCGTTCAATCGCCATACGTGGAATGAACAACACGAGGCCTGGCGTTGTTGTTTCTCTCGTTTTGTTTCGTTCATTGTGGGAATATTGAGGTGTCCCGATCGCGTGGTATTGATATATCTTAAGAACTTCACGTGATTATATTCCAAATCCACTTAACTGGTGCATTAGTAGATATCATATATAATAGTTGTCAACCTCACCTACTTTGCCTGGCCCCGCCCGGGGCGTCACGAGGCCTCCTCCTCCTCCTCCTAGCCTACGATGGGATGGATGATGATGTCCTCGGTGCTTCTGCTGAGGTTTCGGTGTGTAGGTGTAGGCAAGAGAATTGGTTCATGATGGGCAGTTCGGTTACGGCTTTGCTTATCGATGATTTCATACTTTCCACACGAACCTGCAACGAAACAAGGATTTGGTCATGGGTTGTAAAGCACTTCGACTCACGCTGCGCTATAAGTTCAAACTCGTCAACGTAAGAGCAAATCCGAATCCAGGCAGATAAGGCTTTTCAATTTGTCGAATCAGCCTTTGACTGGACGGACGCATACCACTCGAGTCAAAGCTTCAAGCGCTGCTGCTGCTGCTTCGTACAAACTGGGCAAGTTAGTGGGGGGCGTACGTCCTCCCGAGTTTCCACTGCAGCCCTGAACCATGGTCTACGAACTTACAGCAATTCAGTTCGATTTCATGGCGTAGAGCTGCGGGCACCGCTAGAAGAGGACTATACTACACTCTGCCTTTTTCTGAAGACCCGTCCTGCTTTCTCCAGGAGCAGACCCTCGCAAGACGTTTCTGGAGAGCGCAAAACAGGTTAAAGCTTCTCTTTTGCCCTGCTTTATGATTAGAGGAAGTTAGGGTCTTCCGATGAGCTTGGAGTCTTGCGGACCTCGGCGACAAAAGCTTGCAAACCTCGTGTGTCTATCTATCTATCTGTGAATCTAGTGTCTGTTGACAATCCCAAGAAAGAAGCTTCACTTGGATCTACAAGAGTGCACACTCAAAAAGATAAAGCAAAATGTCGTTTGCTTACGAAATGTCTCAACTTTCGTAGGCGAAAGCTAAACACCAGGTCCTCGTCTTAGTCCACAACTTTTGGAATCGCAAACTTCAAAAAAGAAGACAAAGATCCTCGTGGACAGTACTACTACTTCTACCACTAGTACCACTACTACTACTACTCACGGAACTTAGGCCACGACAGGTTTATGTGTGTGCTAGTCAAGAAGGCATAATGGAGCAGGAGAATGTCAAATAGATTGGAAGAAAACAACGTCAACTCAACAGCCGAACAAAATGAAAAATATTGGAACCATCCCTCGTAGGACGTGATCTATGTATCTGTCCATCACTCGTTGATCTGAAGTGAAGGGAGAGGAGCAGAAGAAGAGGAATAGAAATAGAAATAGGAATAGGAAAAAGAAGAAGAAGAAGAAGACAGGGAAAAAGTATGAGAGGATAAAGCGGGTCCCAATGTACAGCACAGCCAAGTCGAGAGCGAGAGCCCACTCACTGCCAACTGTTCGATCGGAAATCGGTGACTGAAGAGTCTATGGACTGCATAGATTCTTTCCCTTCCCTCTCTCTCCCCCTCCTCCTCCTGCCTGCCCTCCTCCTCCTCCCTCTCTCTTTCTTCTCTCTCTCTCTCTCTCTCTCTCTCTCTTAAGTTTGTGAATCTCTCCCTCTTCTTCTCTCCCTCCCTCGCTCCCCGTTTCACTCTCCCAACGGTCGTGGCCTTTTCTCTCTCTGCGCTTTTCCTTTTGTGTCAGATCAGTTGCTGTTTGGTCTGTCAGAGAGCACTGAGCCTCTGACATAGAGGGCCAGTTTGCTCGTTGGCGGGCAGAGGAGCCTGGCAGACCATGAAAGCAGGCAGGCAGGCAGGCAAGAAGACTAGGAATGGGGATTTCAAAAGCTTCCTGACAGGGCGAACTGCAACAGTTTTCTCAACCCACTTCATCAGCAATGGAATGATTCACGTACAGTGCAGTGGAGGCTGTGGAGCAGCAGGCCGCGAGTGTGCGGGTGGGGGGGGGACTACTACTACTACTACACTGGGACTGGGGGGGGGGTTTACCTTCTGTCGCGCGGAGTAAACGCACCTGGGCAACGGGCGAGAGCATGAAGCACCAATTGCCACACGGATTTGTAGTAAAGGCCCGGGCACTTGTCACCAGCCTCGGAACTCGTAATAGTCTGCTCTGCCAGCCAGATCGCTCCGCCAGAGACGCGTAGAGAACGTGATGCCATGCCATAGAGGACAATTGCCTCCTGGCTGCCTGACTTCCCGCTCCTCCTGCTTCTGCTGCTGCTCCTGCTCCTGCTTTTGGTCATTACAGTTTCCCGAGTCCAGATTTTTCCTCCCTCTGCGACTGTCTGAGCATCAACGAACCCGGCCCCCCAGTCCCTCCTTCCGTCCGTCCGTCCGTCCGTCCATCCATCCCTTCCGTCAGTCTGCACCGTAGTCCCCAGCAGCAGATGGTATGGCCTGGGAGGGTAACAGCTTTCCGTACCCTTCGGGTCCTGACTTTGCTGGTCTGCCCTGCCCTCTCGTGCCCGCTCAGAGGGTTGACTACCCGCGAGAATCTCCGGCCAGGGCCGCCAAGGGGCCGGGCTGCGGGCGACGGTTACGTAGACGGGACCCGAACCCGTCCCGGCCGTGGCACCTGACCGGGTGACCGGGGCGAAGCAAGGAGCTAGCCCGTTCGGCCGGCCGGCCGGCCAGTAGGCTAAGCTGTGAGGGGCTAGGGCGACGGTAGCTTTTAAGCTGTAAAGCTCGTGGGCCCACTCACTCATTCAATCGCGCCCCAACCGACACTCGGGCCCTGACTCGCTTGCCATTACTTGCCATTCCGAATTCAAATCCCATTCGCACTCGGCCTCCCAACTCTTTGTCTGTCTCGCGGCTCGGCCCCCGGCCTGAGATTCTCGGCAGCCCCTCTTGAATAATTGTGTCCCCGGCCGAGCCTCGATGAGGAATATTAAGCTCGTGTCTCTCTCTCTCTCTTCGTTGTGTCTCTCGAGCTGCGAGTGAGTAATGATCCGGTCCTCGGGTGCCTGAGCGGCCGACTGTCGAGCCGGGAGCCCCGACTTGAAAGCTCTGGAGCAGGCGAAATAAACACACTCATTCCCTTCCGGTGCGCCAAGCCTTGGCCTGGCTTGTCCAGGGGCCATCTAGATGCGGGCAGGGTGTTTGTACTTGGTGTACACCATGACAAAAGGTCGTCCTCCGGTCAATCATATGCGTGCCGTGCTGATCGACAGAAAGACAGACAGACAGACGGGTGAAAGGTTAAAGCCTAGTGCTCGCTCGCCCAGACTGCTTTTATCGTCGCCTGCCTGCGTGCCTTTGGAATGTTACGAAAGGGTCGAGATATTTTTATGTGTAGGGTCGCACTCACTCACGAGCTACTCGTATCTCCCGTTGGTGCCGGTCTCGCTGAGATGACGACCTAGCGCACAACTGTCGTGACTATATGGGACTGCAAGACAGCTCATAGGTATGATTTGGAGTGTTGGTGACAGTAAGTCGGCCCGGCCTAGCCCATCCTTCGCATGGCTCGGCAGCGCACACAGCAGGTCACGATTTCCCACGCTTCGTCTTTTCGATGCACGATTATTGGATTTGAGAACCAGGAATACGTCAGCTGGAAGCCCGAGCGTGCCTGTAACTATCACACTATTCCAGCTCCATCCAACTCCACGACAAGTCATTCCATTACATGTGCCACACTCCCCGTTCTGTTCACAGCGGACCCGACCTTTCACGAGGTCTGCGTTCTCTTCCTCTGCTGCAAAATGAAGCTCTCGTGAAGTGCATACAACCAGCTGAAAGTCCAAAAAGAACAGTGAGAGATCTGTTGGGAGACTGTGCGATAACGTCATCATTCTGGACGATGTTTCATTCCAATCATTCCATACCAGTCCACTCGAGGTTTGAATACATCCATGAATCCGTCAATTCACATAACGATTGATGATGAAGCAAGCAAGCAAGCCGAGCCACAGAAAGGATATCATCTTCCCGAGTGAGTCTTTGAAATAATACATTTTACTTCGATTGAAGCCATGAAATTAATTATTATGTAGAGCAAACAGGACTGTCAAAGAAAAAATCGTTGAAAATAATCATAACGTCACTGACTACGCCTAAAGGGTACATGCTCGACGGCGTGAAAAGCAAGCAAGCGAGGGAGGGACGGAGCGGAAGGAGGGAGGGAAGGGTAAGACCTGGACCACTTCAAATCCCGGACCTACGGCCAGACAGGCTTCGGGGTGCGGTGAGTCTCAGGGAGCCAGCATTACAAAGACAATTATATACACAATCAGACACCATATAGTGTGGCGACAGCTGCTGGGTAGCTAAGGCTCATGCACAACTGATTGTGGTTCAACACTACTCTTTTCGATCGAATCTGCATATCTCTCCCTCTGCCAAAGACTAGCGGATCAGCGGCAACATAACTTTACATATCTATAAATGAGCGTTTTTTTGAAGGGGAGCAGCGGTGGGCAGTCGGCAGCTTTCACATCGGGACCTCCCCACCAACAACAATGTCCCTCGTACTCTTTTGAACCTCAAAGAGCCCGCCTTCCTCTGTTTTGTCACCCCGCCCGACCGAGCGCGAGCGAACGACGAAATCCCGGCCACGGCTCGCCGGCGGCCGGCGGCAGGCACCTCCGAGACCACGTCCGATGGCGAAATCCGTGCTGCACTGCCGTGAATGAATGACAATACTCCTCTCCTCTCTAGTAAGAGCGAGCGCAAGCAAGCCTGGAAACAACCTCCTCTGAGCCAGCAACGTTGTCAGGACCCGCAGCGTTGCTCATTAACCCCCTCGTTCTCCTCCTTTCGAATCCGCTGAAGTTATAAAATCTAAAATGCCACCACATTCGAGAGACCCTTGAACGAATGTCGCTCAACCGGCCAACTCCGATTCGGCGGCGGGGGCCACTTTCACCGTGTGTCTGTAGATTACGATCTTCTTCTTTCTCGACGAGTTGTCCACTGTCAAGACCACCTTTCCAGGCTCTGTGATCTTGAAGCTATTTCGGACGGGCTCCTCGGTACTCGACGGCAGCTTCTTGGTCTTCTCGATGATAGTGGTGTACGCACCCTCCGCGCTCGGTACGTACTCGGCTCCGTAGCTCACATCGTAACCAACCACGGCCAAATCCCATACGACGGTTCCGCCGACCTGAGGTGTAACCATGATCCATGTCAGATTCCATGCCGATTGCTCGGGAGCCAATAGATTCGTCACGAACGCAAGCGATGGACATTACTGTAGGGAGAGGGATGACAAGACAAAGTCACCAAGGCCTTACCTCCGTCACGGGGATTTCAATGTGTGATTTCTCACCGGCCTTGACAATCACATCGGAGGCGGGGGCCTCGACTCCCGAAAACTCGGTGTCGTTGAGTCTGCTCAGACCTCCGTAGTTGACTGGTACGTACTCAGCTGGAATGAATCTGCAACAGAGGCACGCGTGTGAGATTCGACATAGAATCAACAACTGTTTACACCCGATTCCCCAGACCAGCCGCAATCTCACAAGCAGATTAATGGATCGGGACGCTTACTTCAACAGCGCTTCGGTTGTCTTCCCGGCGGGGGCGACCACGAACTTGCTCTTGGTCCTCTGGGACAGGAAAGGGCTGACGATCGAGTACAGGGCACTGAAGTACCATGGGACGTTGATGAACACCTGGCAAGGCCAATGGTATCACATTTAGAACGACGGAAGGAACCAACCAGATCCACATACATCTGAGTTGGGCGTGCCCACCCAAAACACGCGTGATTCAGATTTGGCGCAAGTCAATACGTGATCTAGCTACGTTGTCTATCCTGAAATCAAATTCCACGACAGAACTAATCTCTGATCGGCAGGACGCCGACCAGAAATAATTTTCATGGGTGAGTAGAACAAATTCGACACGCTGGGAGGAAACCAGATGACTTAAACATTCGCAGTTTCAGGATCTCTGGGCTACTCATGATCGTGACTGCGTTGAAAATCATTTACTTGTCGTGAATACTCGTCAGGGCTACGACGAATGGACATTACATTGAGCACCAAAAGAAGTAAAGAACCCCAGCCAGAGAGAGACAGCTAGGAGTAACATACATGAAGTAGGAGAAAATCTCACCTTCTTGGCGACCAACTCGGGATAGTTGTCCTGCAGAAGAACTACAGCCTGATTAGCAACTTTCTTCAAATCCTTCTTGCCGGGTCCGGGAGTGTTCTTCAAGTCAGTAATCTGAACCATGGCACTGGGTCCCTCAGGGCTGAAGTTCAGAAGCTTGATACCCTTCTCAAGAACCTGAATCCTCCATCGGAGGAATGCGTTAATTTTCGAAGAATCACCGAAAGTCTTCTGGTACAACTCCTTGTCCTCGAATCCGTAGACATTGTAACACACGGGGTGGCCCTCCTTGTCCTTACCATGCATGTAGGCGAACCCATCAAGATCCGTGCCGAATTCCTCGTCAAGAAGAGTATCTGCCTTGAAGGTTTTCCTCCAGATGATCGTCTTCTTGAGCTGACTGAAAGCATCGTTCACGTTGAAGTCACGGGCCCTCAAAAACTTCAGAAGAATAACGTCAGTCCTCTTATCACCCTTCGTGTGCAGCAGCGGCACGCCCCAAAGAGCAATGTCCTCCGGGGGAGTAGTATCCTCGGGCTCCTCTTCCACAGGCGCTTCCTTAGCCACCTCTGCAGCGGCGGGGGCAGCTTCCTCTTTGCTCTCTGTCTCGACCGCCGCGGCGGCAGGAGGACTCTCAGCCTCGACGGCTGGGGGCGCGGCAGCAGCAGGTGCCTCGACAGCGGCGGGTGCTGCCTCGGGAGCAGGAGTGGTTTCTTGAACCTCCGGAGTGGCTGGAGGGGGCACGGCCTCTGTGGTGGTGGGGGTGGGGGTGGGCGCAGCAACCGATTCTTCTTTGGGAGCCGCCTCGAGCTTTTCCTCGACAGCAGCAACGACAGCTACGGCCACGGCTGTTTCTTCCTTCACCGCCTCGACGGAAACTGGTGCAGAGGTCTCGGCAGTCGGTGCAGCAGGAGTTTCGGTAGACGATGGGGCAGCAGCATCGGGTGCCGCAGCGGTGGTGGTGGCGTCGGCGTCCTTTTTCTCTTCGACGGGAGCGGCGGGAGCAGCCACGGGTTCGGGCTCCTTGGGAACTTCCACTACCTTCTTCGGGACCCTGAACTCGTCGTCCTTAATGGCCTTTTCGATCCTGAGCTTAAAGTCCTCGAGAGCTTTCTTCTCGTTTTCTTTCAAATCGGCCACGAGGTTCGACTCTTCTTTGAACTCGGGAATGCTGGGCTCAACGGGGGCGGCTTCGGGGAGCTCCTGCTCGACGGATTCCGCGGTGGTTTCGGGGGCCACGGCCTCTGTACTCTTGGGAGCTTCCTCGGGAGTGGCAGCGGGGATGGTTTCGGCGGCGGAAGTGGACTTCACGGCCTCCTTGTCACCTCCGTCGGCCCTCACGGCCTCCGCCACTACCGCCTCGGCGGTGGATGGTGCAGCTACGGTCTCCTCAGCATCAGGAGTCGCCATCTCTCTTCTTGAAAAACCGCGGACAGAAATCAGCACTCACCCACTACGAACTCTTTCCCTTCCTCCTTCCTCCCTTCCTTCACCTCGCGCTTGATCCTGTAAGAACGAGCACGTTCGAGCGAGCGAGCAGTCAGTAAACTCTCCCAAGCCTTCAGGCCGGACCTGCAAAAATACAAGAAGGCGGGAGCTCACGTACAGAGAGACGCACGAAGTCAAGCAGGCAAGCCGAGCAGCGAGTAGCGAGTAGCGAGCAGGGTAGGCAGGCAACAACGCTCGGAACTCAGCACTCGCTCGCTCGCTTCATCTATCGCTCTCTGCCAACAACCAGAACCTACGACCTCTTTGTAATCCCTCTCGCGCACACTGTATTGTCATAAATTAAGCTCCGAGCGATTTGCGCAAACCACCTCACAAGACAAGACGACTATCGCGCAAGAGCGGCCGCGTCGCGTCGCTCACCGAATGATATTCCTCGCTGTCTGGAACTCGAACTCGCACGTGGTTGAGTGGATGGTGCGCGGGCGACTGAGTGTGTATGACCGACTGTCTCCCTGGTCCCTGCTCCACGTCTCGCTGGATGGCTGGCTGCCTGTCTCTCTGTCTCTGTCTGTCTGTGAATCTGCGCTTCGCGTCGGAGCTCCTGCGCAGAGCGAGCCGGAGGAGCGGGAAAGGATCGAGATTTTCAAGTGTTGGCCCTCGATGTCGTCGTTGTTGATGTAGCAGCAGCCGCGCAGCTCACGAGCTTAAAGTCATGCGCCTCCCACAATGCGAGCAAAAGAAGGCCAGCGAGCAAGCGAGCGATCGAGCGGGCCAGCGGGCGGGCAAGCACGCGGGCCAACGGGCGGGCGGGCGAGCGGGCGAGGCACTGCTGCTGTTGTGGTTGCGCCTTTCTTCTGCTGTGGGGCTCTGGGCTCCTGCTGGCGTCCGACTGTCCGTTTCGCTCGCAGGCAGGGAGGGTCAAGGGGAAGAGCAGAGCAGAGCGGCGGCAGCAGAAGATGGCGACCAGCAGCCGCGACGCCAGGTAGAAGCCACAAACACCGCCAACGATGGGAGACAGCGCGAGCGGGCACGAGCGGGCGGGGGGCCGGGCGGGAGGGAGGGAGGGAGATGGGGGCCGCGAACAAGATAGAGGAGGGCGAAGATGGCTTGGATTTAGCGTCTCCCGAAGCAGGGCTAAAGCGCCTCCGGATATGGCGGCGGCGCGGAAATGGGGGAGCGGGGGGTGCGATGTCGAGACCGGGAGAGCCTTTGCCATGTGGCAAGGGCACGCTGAGTCAGACGGCATGTGCGCCCGCCCGCGTCCGTGCCATCCGCCCAGTCCCGCTCGGCCCGGCCCCACCGGAACCCCCATTCCCATCGCCTCGCTGTCTCCTGCCTTCGCCGTTTCGTCTCGCGCTCCGTTTTCCCCGCCTCCCCGTCGGGCAGAGAGCACCCTGTGTGTTAAAACCCTGGGCAGCACCGAGCCTGCGTTCAAATGTCTGACTCACTCCTCGGGCGGGCGGGCGGGCGGGCGGGCTCCCGGCGCCTGCCCTGCCCACCCGCCGGGTGAATGTCCGCTGGGCAGGAACGAGGGTTAATGGAAACCAGAGAAGCGGGCAGAAGATCGCGATCGGCAACAGCAACGACAGGTAGAAACAAACAGCGCCAACGAAGATCTTCGGCAGCAGCGCCCGCAAAAGGCGGAGCGACAGCGCGGGGAGGCGCGGGTGGGCAGCCAGGACGAGCCTAATAGAGGAAGCCGAGATGGCCTGGGCTTCGGAGAATCGGGAAACTGTGGCTAAAGTGCGAGCGGATTTGGCGGCAGCGCGGAAATAAGGGAGCCGCGGGTGCGAAGTCGGGACGGAGAGAGGCCTCGCCATGTGGCAAGAGTTCGCTGAGTCAGGCAGCATGTGCGCCCGCCCGCGTCCGTGCCATACGCCCAGTCCCGCTAGGCCCGGCCCCACCGGAACCCCCTTTCTCTCTGCCTCGCTGTCTCTCCGTTCGCCGTTTCGTCTCGCACTCCGTTTTCCTCGCCTCGCTGCTCCCGTCTCGGTGCTCGTCTTGTCCCTTCCGGTCAGGTCAAAATCCCGGGCAGATCGGTGGAGCCTCGACCGTCGATGTCATCCGACATAGGACGGGCTCCGCCAAGAAACTTTGTGCAACTGCCCGCCTTCTCAACCTCGTACCTCCGGCATGTTCCTTCGGGCCAAGTAGCTCGCTTGTCAGACCCGGGGTTTACTCTTTCTCCGGGCACTTGTTTCCGGAGATCCCTTTCGCGATGAACATCCTCTTCGTGCCCTCGTGGAAACTACTGAATTAACTGAAACAAAATTCTTCGGATATTGAAAAGGAAATTATAAAATTACTGCTACTACTCGTAGCTCTGCTCATTCTGTTTGGCTCTGCTCAAAACTTGCACACAAAATGTACCCACTCTGCAATGCGCGGGGTGAGTCCATCTCATAGCGAGAGCTACGAGGAACTTGGCTATGGCGATCCACCATTAAGAAGTTTTTAACTAACCCCACGCGAAACTGGTCCTCTTTTCTTGCTATTTTGCTCCTAAAGATACCCAAAATACATTAATTTATACCTATCTTGATTTACATCAAGATAGGTCTATTCGGTCAAATGCACGATGATTCTTTGGCTTGTAGTAAGATTTTGCAACATCCAAAATAGTTGGACGATTGCATGGATCTCTACAATAGAACTTGTCGAAGAGGGTCGGCTTTAATCGAAGTTTATCTTTTCTGATACTATACACATAAACAATCCTATACTCCAACACTGTTATACTAAAACCAAACCCATAGAACCAAAAACTGTTGATTTATGTTAACAAATGGATCATGAATCAAGTCCATACAATAGTATCATATCAAGCAATAATGCCATTGGCCTGATCCTATGGCATTGTGTTTCTTTCATTCACATATGATAGATACATTTTGATATCTTCTAACCTTATTATACATATCTTTAATGAACTAGCTTCCAAAATTCAATTTTACATTTCGAAAGCAAAGAATATGGCTTGGTCCAATTGAGGCCATCTGAGGCTTTCACAATCATGTTTGACATTTAATGGCATCTTAGGTTATGGTGTTGTAACACTAATACTGGAAGAACATGACTACACAAGTCATGTTAAAGTCTGTTGATATGAGAGTGACATTTTCATTCAACATGAAACACATGACTGGAAGTCTTCTTTAGTCATGACTTCAACATCACAAGCTCGTAATATCTTAGACCTGATTAATTTTAAAATGTGATCACAATACAAATATATATATATATGAAAAATATAAGGAACTTAAATATTACTCATAGAAAAAAAATTATCTGAATGTGAATTTGATGTAGGACATTGATAGATGTCAATATGAAGCTCTGAAGTTCTTTCGTATCAATTTATAATATCTTCATTCTTATCATCGAGAGATTAAAGCTTTCCATGTAATTTTAGGGTTTTATATACTGAAGGTAGATACATTGCTTTCGTCCAAATGTTATAATTTCACACCTATTAACATTTTAAAAAATATATATATTAAGATTTTTTTATCCAAAATGGATTTTTGGAACAAAAAGTATAACTTTGAGTATTCATATTAGAAATTTTAGATTCTATATGGAAATTTGATACCAACATGATTTATGTTCATTTCAAATTCAGTTCTCAATATACAAGTTTGAAATTATGATTTCAATTTGGTATTTACTATAATTTATAACAAATATGTGTATATTTATTTTGTGCAAATTAAATTCTAATTTTGAAATTTTTATGTTGTTAAAATTCAAATTCTATAATTGTTCGATAATATGTCTGATCAATTTATGTGCTAACAGCGATCATGACTTTAATATAACCAAGTTAGAATGTTACGGTTTAAAACTATCACACTGAAAATTTCTTAGAACTGAAATTATACATTTATATATATAATGAAAAAAATATCACAAAAAATCGACCGAAAAAGACTCAATAAATAGATGTGTTAATATGAGTTTACAAATTACATTTCAAGTAAATTTATTTTGTGATTTTTTATTTTGTGAAAATAGCACCATAATTATGTCAAAACTTTCAAAGGAAAATCTACAATTTATAGACTATAGCATAAATGATTCTTTTTGTAATTTTTATTGAGATTTTGATAAAAAATAGGCATTTATCATCACATATATCAAATTAGTAAGAGCTAGTGAATCGAAACTTTTAAAATGATGAATCATCATAGAATCATTCAGAACTAAAATTTATATATATTTATATTATATATCATATATATATATATATATATATATATATAATCTTTCTAACATCTAGAGTTTTATAAAACAAATCAGACTTGTTAATGTAAAAAATCCAAATACGAAAATAATTACCATACATTTTTTATACAATCGCAATGCATGACATAAGTCCAACGTATTTGAATTTTTTAATTGAAAATGTGTTAGGTTTATTCTACTAAATGTTGTTTACAAATTATAGATTTCACAAAGAAGAATGCAAATGGGCGTTGAAATTGTTCTAAGCTTTTATAATTAATAACAATCAGAATACTGGTTTATTTGGTTGAATTAAATCAATTTTAATTTTTGTCAAAAAATTATAGTACACCGTTTAAATCAAAAATATTAATTTTAGAGCTTAAATAAATTCTGTGTGTAATTACTGTAGTATCAAGTTCAATAGAAGTATGTTATAAAATAAAATTTGATATTTATGAATAAATTTGATTTAATTTGTATGGGACATTTTATTTAAAATACATGTTTCTACATACGTTTCTAATACATTCTATAATGCAATCGAAGCCATGCATTTTTTTAAATGATATAATTATGTGTCAAACTAAAATAAGCTTATTATCACCTTATGTAGAATGCAAGTTACATGACTTTAGGTAACATCTTGAAAATAAAATAATGTATTGAATAAATAAAACCCTAAACCCTGATTATACAATTTCAAAAGTGTTATAATTCCAAGGAAGATATATTATAACTTTAATATTTTGAAAAAAATGCTAATTTTGATTAATTTTTTTGTACAAAATTTATTTCCCTAAAAAGCTACCTTGGTGATGTATGATATGTTACAACATTCGATTTTTTAATGATGTACTTGGTTTTTACCATCTGACCTAATTTTCATTGTATCCAATTATGTAGAACCTAACAAAATCAAATTTCCTTCCACTGTAATCTGCATTCTCCGTGATTTAAAGTAATCAAGTATATAAAGCATAGCAAATTCAAATTTCATTCCGATATGATTTGCGTTACTTGATATAATAATCTCAGAGTGTTTCGTGAGGGACTGCAAGTCATCACATTGAACTTAGATCAATCAATTTTGCAAATCCATTTTCAATTGCTAAATATATTTAGTTCAAACTCAATTTCAAATAAATAGTTTTCAAGTCATGGAAAATATTAGATAAAGTAAGGACTTTTGTGTTTAGAGTTTTTCTTTATATCTGGAAGGTAAGTTCTTGACAATCTTGAGTCCGCAAATACTTATCCGTAATACTTTTCATATAAATGTAAAGTGTACAGTATTCTGTTCTTAACATTATTCCGATTACAAACAATTAAAGTAAATTTCTTTTAGTTGTATGTATTGCAAAATGATGTAGATTGCAACTGAATGTAATTTTCTTTTCTTTTCATTAATGACAGGGAACCTAAGTGTGGAAAAACCTAATGAGAAAAGCATAATATAGAATCAATAGTTTTAAGCTTTAATTTAACTGTCATGTGAGTAATTCTCCAACTCATTATAAACTGGGTGATTTCATTCACTCTCCCAACAACTGAAAATTTTGTGGATTCGGCTATTATTGTATAGGTTATAAAATGACACCTATACCCACTCTGATCTCGAGTGGGTATAGGTGTCATTTTATAACCTGACAAGTGGGTGTGTGTTTCTGGGATAGCAAGTGAAATATGAAGTGATCATTAAGGTAACCACAGCACATGTTACATAAATATTTCAACTAAAAAGTGGATTGAAAATTGTAATTATATACTTTAAATAATTATTTCTCATTTATAATCTCATACATAAGAAATTATAATATTAATACATACTTGTGATATATATATATAAAAGAGAACATATTTAATATTAATTTTTTTATGTGGGTCTATGTTTCCTCATTGGGGATGTTATATTGTGGGAGCACAATATTGCATCAAGTGATTCCATGAGAGGAAAAAGATAGAAAACACTTTGTAATCACATGCCACCATAACCTGCAAAAACAACAACAAGCAACCTCGAAGACACCAAGTAATGGAATAAAAAGTATGGACGAACGGCCAATTCGTACATGGAGGGAGACATCCAAGGGGTTAAGATTAGACTAGTCCACCGAATAACCCCGATATCTGGGCCACGATGTGGATCAGACCTTCAAACCGGAGCATCGAGTCGACGAGTACAAGTCCAAATCACAAGGTCATGATGAACGCCAAATTCTCCTGCTGCTTGCCAATGCGACTGGACCGGGCAGGCCCTAAATGAATGAGATCCGTTCGGAACTCGAAGTGGTTAAAACATGATCCGAACGGCGAGGGGATGCACGTGGAGCTTGAGTGCTCGGGGGCCATGAAGATATTTCATCCTTACGCCACTGCTCGCACCCCAATTCCAACACACGAGAGTGACGAAGCATTTTCAAGCGCCAACGTACGAAAAAGTCGAAAAGATCTCGCTCGCGTCTTTATCCGCCCACACAACTCACAGCCACTTTTGAACGCTCGCAGAAAGAGAATGAGCATCCCGGACTGCGAGCGGCAAGTGGGTTCCGTGATCGCAAACCCCATCGACGAATCGATCGAACAATCGAGGGGGAGAGAGCGGGGTCCGGCCTCGATACATGTCCTCCGCCCCATGGCGCGCGCATTCATTACAGCTCACTCGCCTTTTGGATTCATCGTCCGAATCCAAGGACCGCGGACGGAAAAGCAAAGCTTGTCATGTCGTCGTCGTCGTCGTCGTGGCGCCTACAGCAGCAGATTCGGCTTCGAAGCTGTCTTCCTGCGCGCCCGTCTTCTTCTTGCGCTTCTTCGGGCCACATCGCTCGATCCATCGACCTCCCGGCGGCCCCCGAGGCCCCACCTCCGCGCCGCATTGATCATCGATCTTCGCCCATCCTCCTTCGTCCTGGCGGAATGGAGCATTCGGCATCGCCTGTCGTCGACTCACTCACCCACCCCCTGCTCGAGACACGGCTGCGACAAAGGCTCCCCGCCCCGTCGCCCTGCCCCGGATTTATCTGTCGCCAGGCTTATCCATCATTGCGGCTCGGCCCGGCTCGACATTTTTCCCGACCATACCTTTCAGGCTGCCCGAGGCAGCCTGAAAGGTATGGTCGGGACTTCTAGCCGTGACGCGTGGCCGACCCGGTTCCCAGTTCAGTTTGGCTCACTGCGCAGCCCCAGCCCCGAACTTGGTAGCTGGCCCACTCGCCTCTGAAGCTGCCACCGCGTAGGCTCCACGTAGTAGCAGTGAGGTAGCCGCATGGGAGTGAGTGCGATCCGGTCTGAACTCGGTTGGGAAGGCGATGGGGGAGATCGGACGGCGGAGAGGGAATCGAGGGCTCGGGACCTAAAGGCGCGAGCAGATTCGCCACGGCCAGGCTGGTCGATTTTCTTTGCGATCACGGCTCGCCGGTTGCTGGATTAAGCCACTGGACACGTTCTGTCGAGGAATGTGGTTCGTCTTTTTATCCGGTGGACGTTGGACGCTTCCGCCTTTGTCTGCCATGGGCAGCGTCAAGTGTCGACTTTGTAGGTAACGCCGAGCGTGTTACCGTTGAATAACCTGGCGACCGGGAACTTTCTAATGCTCGGCGACAGTGGGCGCCAGGTTCATAGCCGAATGACCGGGAATACCCCATCCAACTGTAATATAGGTCTTCGAATGGGATATATCTAAAACGCCTGCTAAAGTATTTGGACTGTCAAGGTCATGGTATGCTAGTGTCGTTTATTTGCAAGCAGCATATGTACACACTAGATAGTGTTCACATTGCTTCGTGTATACCAATGTAAAATATAATACTCTAAACTTTCTAAGAAATTCAATTATTTCCAAAGTGAACATATCTCCTTGAACCCAATGGTAAGATATTCCACATTCTCAAAAAAATGTAGAATTCAAAGTTCATAACTTTATACAATTCCAAATTTCAATATATATATATAGATATATATATATTTATTTTAGTAGAAGGGTAATACAAGTAAGAACCAGAACCATCACAGAATCGAGAAAAACAGCAAGAAGATCAATCTTTACCCTAGACGATTGCAATATATACTTTGATTGGAGATAAAGATTCTCACATAACATTGCAAACACCATGTTCAAAATAGCAAATTGTATAGCTAGACTTTCTGTTCGAAATAGACAAATAATCATGAGAAAAAGCACTAGAATGCTCACGTGTGAACGTTGCGGTATATGACCGATGGAGATGTAAATGAACGCACAGACCTAACACATAAATTGATCGTCGTAGGATAATCAACTGACAGGAGTAGGGTTCGTGGGGAGGTGTATATTTAGCAACTTGAGAGAAAGTATGGTTTGAAGACAAGTTAGATTTTGACTTGATGCTTCTCGTCCTGAGGGAGAGGGTGGCATCAGAGAGCAAGGAGGCTGTTGCTGGGCTGGGGGAAAGCGAGACTGACAGTGTTGTCAGCTGAAGCAATTCGAAGGTATCCGATGCCCCAGAAGATCGAGTCCGACAAAGCATCTGCTGCGAGGAAGTGGATGTGACCGGCGCGACTGAATCTTGGTGGGATTGACTCGGCTTCAGCATTTGAAAAGTGGGTTCCTTTTGCATCGGTTTGAGATGTGCGTGATGAGTGTCGCTTCGGACTTTCTCAATTTAGCACACCCACGGGCTTATCATGCATTTAAGGGCTTATCTACTTCAGATTCCCGAGCACAATTCCCATCCTTTTCCCACAATCCCCATATGCCTCAGACCGTGGATCCTCTAAGCACATGACGCTGTATGCTTGCTATTGGTACGTTCTGCTCCGAGGTCCGTGATATTTTGAATTCTACGTGGTCACTGATCGGAATCGTGAAATGGCCTCCTCCAGAATTCATCTTAATATTTTATTTAGCAACCTGTGGCCCAAACCACTAGGACTAGAACTGAAAGGTAGCCCAAACCCATCAGGCACAACAGAGTCAGCAGATGTGATGAGAAGCAACATGATACAATCCAGTGCAGTCCTACGTATGCTGAATGAGTGAAAACAGCCGCTGTGGTGTACTGACCAACGAAGCGAGAGCCTTGCTATGGGAAGCAAACTACTGTACAGTCAGTAGGAGCAACTTTTGAAGCTGCCGAGATGTTGCCCAGGAAGGGATTTGCAGGCATAGATCCTGTTGATGGGCAATACAAATACAGAGACTGAAAGATACGTAGAAGTGGACGTGCATGGACTTGCTAACGTGATCCACAAGATGTCCTCGACCCCATGGGTGCAAATGCAAGCTTTCTCGCCTTAAATTCCAGTCGGAATTCCTTCGCCAGTTTTCAATCGGAATCAAAGGGAAAATCGAAAATGGTCTTCACAGCCCCAAATTTAATAACTTTTTGGCCGGCCATCACATCTCTTCAGTGGTACTGGACTTGTGGAATAGCATTAAGGAGCTTTTAACGGAATGCTCCTAAATGGAGTTCTTGAAACCATGTTTGGAAAAGGGGCCAATAAGCTCTTAAATAGCTAACAAGGAATAATACCTGATTTCATCTCCATATCCCATCAGTAAAACGTAACTGTCTCGACCGATTCGTCATGGATATAATTCACGACCTCCTCGAATCAGGATGGGAACTGAGGACCAATTAGTACAGCACGGAAGTCAAGAAAGTTGACATAAGGAGGAGCGGGTTCCGGTGGTCCGGGAGTTCCTTCCGTCAATTTTGCAATCAAAGCCCATAGACTTCAGCAAAAGCGAGTGGCCAGAAAATATTATTAAGCTTAGTCACCTGCTTGCGAAACAACTCAACATATCTCTTGCAAAGTCACAGCGAAACGAAATCCGAACATCCTCCGGTTTCGACCCCTCTGTGTCGACATACCTCGTGGACGCATCGGCAGTCAAGAATGTTTGGAACCATGAAACACAACACTTCGACAGAACCACTTTTAAGTGATTCAAGTGAAATACCACTAGGCAAAACGATTAAGAAACACATTGGAAGAAATGGAGAGTGATCCGTTACTCTCATAATGATCTTCATGTACAATCTTATGATACAGCCTCAGATCTCTTCTTCATTACATATTTTACATGCAGATTCATTCAACCTGATCTTTAAACTCAAAGAATGGAGGCCTATTGTACACAGTATGCACAAGAAACTCTGGCCTGTGATGGTAAACCTAGCTATGGGAAAGTGAACATAAAGTTGAACGGGCCATCTTCTCTCGTGAAGGGCCATCGTTCATGTGAGATCCTATAGATCCTAAAGCTTCTATTCCTAGATCAAATCTGAATGTCGTTACAATAACATAAATGTATGCTCCGTACTCGTCATCTCGGAATCCATGAATTCCCTCCTAAGCGCATCTCGTGATAGCCCACCGGACCCCGAGGAGTTGTAAGCAGGGAAGTTGAGACAACCCCTTGTTGCACGGGTATGTGTGAAGTAGATGAAGCAGCTGTTTGAGACAAGTGAGGATGGTGAGGATGCAAGGTAGGAGGTACAACATATCCACCAAACCCGGGAGGTCCGCCTGCGACTCCAGGTCCAGCTCCTAAAGGGGGTCCATTCGGAGGAATGGGACTGAACTGGCCGTGTCCCGGTGGTACTGGCACAATCTTTTGCGCATGAAGAGTAGCGTGTTGTAAAGCCTGTATGACATTGTCAAGCCACAAGTCAGTTCCTTCAAGTCCTTAAACGTGACCAGAGCGTACAAACCTGTGAGAAAGTCAATGAAGTGATACAGATGATCGCCGTGTGTGGAGATAGAACGCCGAACCATGTCTTCAAAGGATGGAGACCTCGGTGTTTACTATAGATGATCCTAAGAATCTATATTGAGCTTACCGTTAATCATAAGAGGAACTCATGACCTCCCATAGAGATGAGATAACAGGTTTTCAAATGAGGCGCTCCTCATTTGGGACAAAATAAGCTTTTGACTTAACCAAGTTACCAAGTTACCAGAACACACTATCACTTACGTTGTGATTAATCACTCATTCATAACACAAATGGCTAGGTGCGCCACATTCCACTCGTCTTTACTTGAACGGCCTGCTAAATCAGTAGACTATAGATTTCGCGAACGTAAGGGAGCTCTATTCAATTTAAGAGGACGAAGATATTTTATCATGACTTTCTTCAGCGTGTGGAGAGTAGGATTAAGTCTAACCAGACGCAGTAATGATTCTCGAAGACATCTCTGCTAAATAAGAAAACGAGGTGTCAACGGAGAAGTCTACAACCCTATGTTGATTCCAAAGCGTGAGCTGAAGTCAGACACTAAAACCTCCATTACAAAAAATATAACCTAGGGCATACAGTACAGACTCGTGACCGAAACCATTAACCGTGGCTTGAATGCTGTTTCCTCGGCTGTTAAAGACCACAAAAGAAGATATTGGAGATGTCAATCTGACACTGGGTGTTCGTGCTACTATTACGCCAACTAACAGTAGTATGACTAGTAACAATCTACTTCATTTTCTGCACGTGCCATAACCTCATAAAAACCTCTTGAAAGGAGTGGACTAAGGGAAATAGAACCATGTTGAAACACACATAGAAAAACTATAGAGATGCGTGTTCAGATTTCAGGCCTTAAGGCCATGTTGCAGAAAGCACTAGGTGAAAATAAGATGAACATACCATATTATGAGAGTAATTATGTGGACCTAGAGGCGAAGGCAGGTTTCCCATGTACACTGCTCCCGGAGATAAAGCTCCCCCTCCTGCGATCCCAGTCCCAACAGTTGAAGGAGTAATGCCAGTAGCTTGTACATAATATCCTCCCCGGCCAGATGAACCCTGCATAAAACAAAAAACACAAGCAGCCTAATAAGTTGAACTACACACTTACGTGGACTGTCATCAGTAAGAGGAGTTCAAAAACTAGGCCAGTAAGAAAATAGAAAGTTATCCACTGACAATTATTTAGTACATAGTGATCACAATGCATAGTAACCATGTATACGAGTTTCCGAGCTGGAGTTGAGGTTGTATCGAGATTCTTAAGAACCTCGATTGAAACAAGTAAGAGTTGAAATTGGAAGTCCAATTATCATGGCTCACAAGTAGGATAGTTTAGCACCTGTGATATATGCTGGGTCAAAGTGTTCTGTCGTCCAAGATTTGTCACCATTGGTGGAGGAGGGCCCAAAACATTATGACTACTGTGGCTACTTTGAATAGGTCGAGGTGGGGGGCTTGGGGTCCTTGCGTATTCCAATTCTCCTTCTTCCAAATCCCCACTTATCTGCAATCCCAGTTTTTCTCCAAAACTGGAGACCGCAGGTGAGTCACCGGCACCACTCATCCCTGGTAGCCCTTGCTGAGAAGCATTGGTCGTCGTGACTCTTTTCTTGGATTCTTCTACACTGAGCACCTGTTCCAATAAAAGATAGCTTGGTAAGTCATGAAATCCAGCGACATACCATCTAATCTAAACACGGCCATACTTTGAGTTTTATAAAGATCGAACTTTTCTTCTTTCTGGATTTTTTCAAAAATCCAGAAATATAATACGGTCAGGAGCTTCTCTTGGTACCAACGCACAATCTAACATATGTGAATACAGATGAAGAACATAGGAGTCTGAAGTGGGCACCAAAAGGACAATATATGCCCCCACAATAAGAGAGCTACAGTTAGAGTTAGTCACGGTAAACAACACGGCTAAAATTAGGAGGTGAAGGTATGAGGCAACCCAAACATGACATGCTATGCAAATGAAAAGCACAGAATTAAAAGTGCAGAGAGGGAAGTTACCTGCGTCTGTAGACAAAGTATGAAATGCAGAAAACGTGAGTAGCAGGATGTGAAAACTTAAGTAGCTTGGATTGAATGCGAACTCACTGTAAATTAGTAGATGGATGTATATAGGCATGCATATGATCTTCAAAGACGGTAGGATATCACACAAAGTGCAATTCGCAGTGAGTATATGAGCGCAAAGCACCAACAAGAAGAAGGTAAAAGTGAAGAAAAAGTATGGACACGGATAGTGCGAAACGATTATGCTAATGACAGGAAACTTGAATTAAAAGGCCTCTACTATGTTAGATTAAATGGTCTGTACCAAGGTGTTGACAGCCAACAGACCTGCTTCAACATGAGTACAAGGTGATGTTTATCAGCTGTCAACTTCTCCAGTTTCGCCTGAAGTTCCTCTCGTTTTCTTTTTCTCGCATTCTTCTCATTCTCTTTCACATCAACCACATCTCCTGCCTCCGTCTTCTTACTGAAATCTTTTGGACTTTTAACCTGTTCCATTCACAACATTTCAATGAGATTTCATCCAATATCCCAAGAAACACCAACACATTGATGTGGCCTTACCCTGCGCCACTATTGTGACCAAACATCTCCATTATAGCAAAACAGAACGTTAAAGGTGTGAAACCTGATTACAAATGTTTAAGAGGGAATGCAAATATAAACGCCGTATTAAACTGTTGGAAAAAAACCTAACGGTGAGAGAAATGGCAAATGAAAGAAACAACGATCAGATGTGCGAACCACATACTACTCCCCAGATATGACGAATAGGATCAACGAAGGTTCTTACAGCCTCAATGTAAAAATCCTCAGCTAATGACGGCAATTTGAACAAAATGGAAAAAGCCGTTCTGACAAACATTTAGCTTACAAACATTTTTGATAGCAACTATAAAACCGACGAAAAGAGATCCAAATAGTCTACCCGATCTGGATGAATATCTGAAAGAAATAGCACTTACGTATGAAATGAAATACTCTAATTCTTATGATCCAAACAAAGAAGTTGGACAGCTTAGTCTACGCAATAATCTAGCTTTAGAAAGATAATGAAAAGATGAGCGAATAGAGCAAGATAATATGAAGGGTCTGAGCTACCAAGAAGGGTAACAAATGGCCTACAGATAGAAAGATTGAGATAAGAGAGTACAGATGGCTTGCAATAAATCGTCAACGATCAGTGCAGACAAGGAACAGTAAGAATGATTCACACAGAAATTTAAGAAACATACTGAATCATATTGATTGGAAAGATGACAGAGACATGAACTATAAAGATACACTATTACTTCATCACTGCTCATCAAGGTGTCGAGGCAGTTATACAGTGGAGCCAATCTATGTAAAGTATTGTTTGGACAAACTAGGGGAAAGCAGTTCGGTGGCCAAGGTTAAAGAGGGGAGAGGATGAGAGCACACATCTAACGTTTTTCAATTGTAGTTACTGTCCAGTGCTTCGGAGCTGGAAGTCTGACATTTGAAGAAATTCAAATTGACCGGGTTTAGGAATCTAGCCAAGTTAACTTCTTGATCTTCCGTGGTGTCTAACCCGTTCTGAGTTTCCCCATATACTGCCTCGACATCCTGGATAAATTCACGTCTACTCCTGTTTGACGCCTAGACTTTAGATGAAATCTGTATGTTATCACATAGCAGACCAACTCGAAATTTGACATAAACATGATTGTTCAGTAAGGTTTCGATATAGGCAAGTAAGTCGTGATGTTCGTAAGACTACACAGCAGTAGATTAATCAGGTCCAAGCATACTTAAGTCAACAGCTTACAGTAACTAGAAGTGAACGATATATGACTTCCACACACCCAATAATTGATATCAAGTTTTAAACCTAGTGTGCATAGAGATCCCTCCCTGCGCCAAATTCTTGGGGTTTATTGCCAGTACAAAATGCAGTGTGGACTTTCGATAATCTTCATGACATCAATTTCTATGTTGCTCCGAGGTTTCAAAAGACAAATTAAAGATCTGAGTAAACCTGAGTTCTAGACTGACCAGAATTATTCAGGGTTCATTCCTGGTTCGTGCATCTGCCAAATGTTGGAACAAACTACGAATAAATGAATGAGTTGCGGGTCCTTATCTTCACCCGCACCTCCATTCCATATCTCAGGTTCTGTTTTACAGACGCAACTTTCTGTGAGGTATTTTCATTTTTCAAATAAATGAACATTTGAGAATAAACGAAGTGGCTCCAAGCTGAAGGTTTTACCTGCACAGAGGCTGGGGATGTACCATGCTCACATTTTCATTATGCACATATGACGCATTTTTCTCCAGGTCAACAAATTTGAAACCAAGTTTCTCTCACTCTCTATCTAACAGGAAGCCCATTCTATACGTCATCCAATGCATGAGTTCGAAAATGTACAGTCTCTCAGATGCAAACCATAAATGTTCATACACCACCGGGTAAGAAAGCTTAATCCACCTACATTTGCACCCGGGGTCGAGTCCACTAAAGCAGGAAGCGAGTTCTCACGCGCTTCCAAACCTGTTTGATCGCCATTCTTCGACAAGTCCGCTGAATTTTCTGCTCTTTCAATACTAGGATCGCTCAACCCTGTTCCCTTGCTAGATTCACCGTCCGCTCCTACAATTGTTCCTGTTTCCCCTGTTTCGCTAACCCTAACCCTACCCTGCTCAGAAAATTCCTCGTCAATTTCCATTCCAGTTTTCTCCACTGCCAAAATATCGCACTCCATCTCCTGAGATTGATCGACAGCATCTATGACCATGACTTCTGATCCCGCAGCTGTATCTCTCGCATCCGTTGACTTTTCTGGATCATCGTCATTTTCCCGCTCAACTTCGGCTTTGACAAATTGCTTTTCAATTTCCTCCCGGTTGCCCTCCTGTTTATTTCTATTCCTCCCATGCCATTCCTCGTTCTCCGCCGCGACAAGCTCACTGCTCTCCCCAGATTTTGCATGCCTAGTAAGCGTTTTATTTTCTTCGCCCAAAGGCTCCAATCTGTGGATACCAACATCGCAATTACCAGAAGGCACCACGCCTGCCTTTTCCGCCTCCCCTGAATTAACATGGCCTCGACCACTCTCACCACTAATCGGTCCTGGAGAATTGGGAAAGAGTAACCTCTCCGGCGACGAAGAAGTCCGTAACTCTTTCAGCAGAGCATCGTTCTTCTTTAACAAAGCCTTTTTGAAAACCGAAAGAGGTATTGAGCTCTCCGGGATAACCCACTGACGGGGAACACCCGAAACCTTGTGGAGCTCCCCCCGGTACAACGAGATCATGGCCAACCCTTCGACTAAATCGTCAGAGAGACTGCTGCATGATTTGTAAGCGACCCAAATCTCGGACCGTGCAAGAAGTATCGTGCCACGTTCTTCGGCGCCAGAACTCGAAGGAAACGCAAAGACGACAGACAAACAATCATATACATACACATAATAAAACACAGGGACTTCGTCCGTAAAATCCAGAATTTTCAACTCATTCTCCAATTCCAGCCTCGATTCGACTACGCTCCAGAAGAAATCCAGCCGCGCCCCTGACGCATTGCGGGGACAAAAACGCACCACGCGTGATCATCTCGCATGTTGGCCACTGGCAATCTCGAAAGCACCATGTCTCAAACAATCTCAGGTCCCTTTTGACTCCTCAACCTCTCGACGGCCTGCGCCATCTCGTCTGTCTCGTGGGAGGCACTCACTGTCTCGCTCCAAAAGTCGTACTGTCATCACGTTTCCATGTCAAGCTCACGGAAGGCAAATCTGCGCAGTGGACATCGAGCAAGGACTTCGACCTAATGCAACCTCGAGCCAGATAACTTCAACAACGACCGTAAAAGTATTCCGCCCGCTGACTGCTCGAACTTGTTCTGTTCCATGTACAGAACGACTGTACGTATCGTTCAATTTGGGCAGGGCCCGGAAAGATTCACATCCACCAGGCCATCCATCCATCCATCCTTTTTTCCATCGACCATACATCCATCCATCCTCATGCCGCACGCGCGCGCCTGCGCCGGGGTACATGGTGTACCTCAACCAGGTCAGCTTTTCTAATCTATCCCTCCAGTTCTCAACCGACTTGGTAAATACGTAGTGGACTGACTATGAACATGGTAGATGAACCAGGTGTGGCAGCATTAAGGGTGAAGTCTAAAGCCAATGTCACACGATGACCCAACTGAAACTTAACTTTAGTAAGGGAAGAGATTAGGAGACAAATAACCGAAGTGAGAAGTTATTGAACCCCAGATACTAGTGATGAAAATATAAGAGTACAAAGGAAGATATAACTAAATGGTTGTTATGACTTGAAATAATGAAATAACTCAAAGAGAGGAGTTGTGTGGCTGAAATATCTGTCATGAAACTTAGTTGCATTGCAAGTTTCCAATTTGTGCTGCTTACTTTGGTGTGCCCGAGGCAGTTCAAGGATACGTCAATGTTTGGTATTGGATCTGAAGTCAACCAGATCTGATGAAGCAAAAAAGTATAAATAGCCCAATGTAGGATGATGCAGGTAACTGGCGATGTAGAACTAGCTACAGGGACTTTTGTCATTTTGTCCTTTTTAAGAACAAAAAGGAGATTCTTGACAAAACATGTCTCATGAAAAGATTTTTTATATCTGAGATGTGATGTGATCATCACTCATCTATGTGTTTGATTTAGTTTCAGGTTGAATTTTACGTGAACTGGAATAAAATTTGGAGTTTCAGTTATTCTTTTGTGGCCAAATACAATCAATACAAAGTTAAATAGGAAGTATGTAGTTATTTTTATATTTTGGGATATATGTTCTTCTTCACTAGATGTATTCAATGTATATAATGTATTGAGAATACAGAAGAAATATTCGTATAATTATTTTTAAAATGAGACATTCAGCATTAATGAGCAGGTTTGATGGTTTCTATTCTCCAAAACTTGATAGTTTTCAGATTCATAGATTGAATTTGTATTCAATTTTTTGAATAGAATATCAAAAGTTCATGTAAGCAGGGAATTGATATGTACAAACTTTTTGTTTTATCTAAAATAATAATAATTCATAATTAAATAAAAAATCATAAAAAACCATGTTTTATTTATACATGCAGTATTTTTAAATTGATCTGTACATAAAATGATGATTTTTTAAATATTAGTCTTTATGATAAAGAAGTAAAAATTAAAAATTATAATTCATAATAAAATTATAATATAAATATAATATTTTAATTTATCTTAAAAAATTTTAAACTCGAAATAAGTATAGTTCTACGAAATATACTCTGCTGAAATTCAATTTATAATTTTATATTACAATGCATATTCAAAAAATAGCACATAATTTCATGAATTATTCAATAATACATTTATTCAAATTTTAACATTGAAAAAATAAAAATTTAAATTCATTTTTTCATAAACTCATATTTTTCTGTATTTTTGATAAAATTATGTTAGTAGAATTTTTTCCCAAAATAACGTAGTCAGTAAATATTTTTTTGGAAATTCTCCGTGTTCAGATATTTCAGATCATATTCAAAAAAATTTACATATTTACTTATTTTTTGATCCGTTGAAAAATTGAGATGTCATGTACAAATTTCAATAAAATTATGTTTCTTATTAAATTTTTAGAAATTTTATGATATTTAATGAAGAAATATGACGATAAAAGATTCTTGTTGATAAAAAATGCTCGAAAATTTAAAAAAGTGCTGTTTAAATATAGCATGATATAATTGATAACTAAAATGATTAAGACTCCAATTTTCTGTCATGTGTTTTATTTTCATCAACTAAAATTATAAATCTTGGATGCTTATTGTAAAACATTATCTGTAAAACGCATAGGTATTACACATTTTGCATGTGTAGTATATATGAAAAATGTGTTTGAATATTGAGGATTTAACATTACAACATGTAGTTCACATCTATTACATTATCAGTTTCGCATGTAAACAAAAGAAAAAGTCTAGATTTTTCAAATTGTCATCGTCGCCCATGGTTGATTCGGTATTGAAGTTTGTGATAGTTTGAAACGCTTTGTGTGTACTTGAAACATTTATTTTATGAACCAAAATCAAGATTTGCAAGTTATTTAAGAGAAGATTGAACTTTGTTCCGATTTGAATGAGTTAGATCATGTGAAGAATTACACAGAGCAGCGAATCACGACTAATGCACGTCAAAATAAGCAGTCAGATATTTTTATACGGCCATAGTTTTTTCTCTTATGGACAACATCAAATATGTAATATCAAATGTTTGCGCAAGTGAATTGGAGAATTAAAAAGTTGGAATTATGTGCTCCATGAGTCAACGAAGGAGAGAGGAAGACTACCTCAACATGTAACATGAAACCCAGAAGTTTATGAATTGGGCTACTGTGATTAAATTAATGTCATCGACAAAAAATATACGACGTTAAAAGTTTATTTCCATCCAACCGGTCTTATTTTCTCTTTTAAATCTCATACTGTGTACTCTAGCAGTTTCGAGTAAATACAATAGTTTTGATTCCCATTCCTGTGAAATATCTGATTTTGATGTATTGATTGCACAAACTGGAACGTTTATACCACCATTGCCAACTGTAACAATTCCGTCCATAGTTCACATGGATTTACAAAACCAGCAGTATATGAAACAAGCGTTTCATGCAGGGAGTGAGATAAACAAACTTCCGAACATTTGTAGTATGCATGCCTTCAGTCAGATATGGAGAAATTGATGGATTTTGCATAAACCTGACGCGACAGTAGGGCCAAACTCGTTAAAGTGGAATTGGAAAATGTAGCTAATGTACACTGATTGCTACCTACATTACATGCTACAATACAATGTCCCGTTCAAACCAACTCCAGCAGAAGCTGAAGGCGGTGGGTCAAGCACCTTAACGAAGAGAGTGACATCTATCTACAGAAGTTCTCTTAACATCATCTCGCCTCCATGTTCTCCTTCGGCCTCTGCGTGAACGCGATGCGATGGCAAAATGTTTGAATTTGGTGTGCAAAATAAACGAGGAGTTGCGGTCTTGAGTTCACAGTAGATGGTCATATCTAGCAGGCGATTGAGAATGTGGGTGCACGTGGTTGGTTTGTCTCGCTGTGCACCTCAGATGTGTTGCGACCGACGTCATTTTGCTCCTTGAGATCCTGATTTCCTTTCTGAGAACCGATCAAATTACCGATCTAATGCTAATGCATTGCATGGTGTGTCACTGCCGAGCTCCTCTGCCGAGTACACGCTTAAAACTGAGAACCTCTTTGCCCTGAAAAGCAGCCTGCCATATGATCCCAGTAGCCACTGAAGTAAAGAATTTCTGTGAGCGATCTGAAAGAAAGTACGGAGAGGCGATACATCATCGATCGAAGCCAAGCCAACGGAAGCAGGCAGGGGCAGGGTCAGAGAATAATCCTGCCTCCGCCTCTCCATCATCAAATCATCAGGCAGAAAGCAAATTTTACCCGTATGGAATCCAGTCGTTTTTCCTATTTGTCCTCATGACAACGAACTCTCGAGAATCTTCTTCTTCTTCTTCTTCTGCTATATTTCTCTGGCTATCTAGTTCCTCTCACTCGTCTCTCTAGCTATACATTTTCGGCTGCGAGCCTCATTTTCCAGACTAAGCTACATACTACGTACAACTTGATAAAAAAATTCCAGTCCCATGTCCCCCAGTCTCATGACCCGGAGGAGGTCGAGTTCGAACGTCGATTGGTTGAATGGATGGATGGGACGAGAAGATGATCGTTCCGCCTACTGCTATTATTCACAAAATCTAGAGCGCTCGGGAAGAGGCCGTGGTTCTAATCCGATCGTCGTTGGGCCTCGTCGTCGTGCTTTCTCCTGGCACTGGACAAGAGATAGCACAAGCCGACTCCGACCAGAATCACGAGAGCGAAGAGGCAGCCGGGCTGCGCCGATTCGTCCTGAGTTTGGTCTCGAGACTCGTCGCGGGTGGGGATGGGGGCGTCGCGGGCGGGGAGGTGGAGATGAAGATCGTCGCCGGCATCGTGCCGCGACCGGATGTGTCTGACTTCCGAGGCGGACGAGACGGACTCGCGGCGGCCGCTGCCGAAGGGCGTGAAGGAGATGGAGATGGAGTCGCGGCGCGACCGGCGGTGCTGGTTGCGCATGCGCTCGGCGATGGACTCGCGGAGCTCGCGACACTCGAGATCGTCGTCGGCCCATTTGAGCACGTGGTCGAGCATTTTGAGGACCTCGACGTCGAGCTCTTGGCTGCCGGCGCACGCCAGCATCAGCGCCTGCTCCCGGTACGACTCGCGACGCGCGTGGAACCGCTCCTGGACGCCCGAGCTCTGGTACCGCTCGAACAGGCGCCCGCGCACGTTGATGTCGTCGCAGGCGATGACGAAGACCTTGTCCTTGCGCTGGTCGAACGGGCTCTGCGTCATGTCGTTGTCGATGATTGTCCAGCGGTCGTACGTGTGCCCGTCGCTGCCCTTCACCGGGTCGCACATGAGCTCGTACGTGATTGGGTCGTGAAACTCGTCGTCCTCGTCGCTCGTGTCGCTCCGTTTGTGCTTCCCTCCCTTTCCTGCACATCCATCCATCCATCCATCCATCCGCCTCCGTCACCCGTCTAACAGACTTCTAGCACGAGCCCTCGACGAGGCGACTCTGGCAGCGATGTCAGATTCATGAGCTTCAGAGGAGATGAAATCTATTTGCCGCAATCTATGTCTCGGGGAATTGGCCTCTTCCAGGTTTGCAGTCGTAGCACCGCGGGCAGGTGAGTTTGACGAGTGACCCACCTGTGGCAGAAGCGGCAATCTCCTTCATTCTCGACTGGAAGATGTCCTGCTTCTTGCCGGCGCTCGACACATGCTGCACAACGCAAGGCAAGGCTCCCGCGCTTCATCAGCTGTTCGTTCGTTCGTCGGAACACAGCAATGAACGTGTTTCTATTCGAATTTCTCTGAGTTCTCAACCTTCTATGACATTCCAATTCTGAGCTGAGCATTCCAATTCAAGTCAGTCCCCTTCTGAGTAAGTGAGTGAGTTGTCGACCGACTGGAACGATTGCGTCGTCCCCAAAGCTCATTCCTTCTGTAATCAATCGAGCCAGTGCTTCATACCAGTGTCAAAATACTGCGTCCTGTTTGACAGGATTCCGCACACTGTGAAGTTCCAAATGCTCCTGACCGACCGACAATGAAAGTCCTTGAACCAACAAAGTTCTGGGGTCATGCGTCAATATTTCATAAATGCATGAATGCCTGGCCCAAAAGGGCGAGTGGGGCTACAGACTGTGGACAGAGATATGGTGGCAGAGTAGATCTGCTGTTCTAACCCTGTAGAGTCCGTGGAGTGAAGGATAGACCGACGATGCTCCAGTGGATTCGTGCTTTAATTGGTCCAGACTCGCTCGCAGCCCTGGGGAATGAATGGATGGATGGACTGCCAAGAGGTGTGCAATGGGCGTGCAAAGAATCCAGGGAGGAGCAGCAGGCACTCACATCAAGTGTCGTGTGCACGAGGGACAACAGGAACGCGTCGCCGAGATCTTGTCGAAGCGCTGCAATTTCCTCGGTGGTCTTGTTCGGATTCCAACGAGCTCGGAAGAACCCCTGTTGCGAGCACGACTGCACACACTCCGTAGCCTTCTTCAGCTTCTTGATCAACGATTCTATAGCAAGCCGCAACAGGATCCTCATCATGACCTCGTACGATAGATTCATACAGCCCAAGGCCGCCCCGTCAATCAAAACATAATCATAAACTCATGAATGTCAACCGCAATGCAATCCTAGACAATGTGTCCCTCCAGCCATCTCTATCTCTCTCTCTCAATGTCTGTGTCTGAAAATTCTCCTGCACCAATTCGAGCGAATTGGTGCAGGAGAATTCTCGAGGGGAGGGTGACAAGAGTCATTTTGCTCGAGAGTATTGAGGACGTGGGGGAGCTAAAGCTCTACAATCGATGGAGGGGAGGGGGAGGGGGGGGAAAGGTGACGTACCTATAGCAGGGGCTTGGGCAGAGGTTGTGACGGGGAGATTATCCTTCAGAAGGTTGACCATGTCGGGCAGGGCGTGGATAAGGAGATCGACCTCCTTCTCGAGCTGGACATTGTTCTGCGAGGCGGATCTAGACTGCAATTGCTGGAGAGCTTCGAGGAGAGTGTCTGCACTGAGTCCCACCTGCTCAAATGCAGAGGCGGATTCCGCCATGTCTAAAAAAACCGGTCGTCTAACCTAGTAAGGATCAAACTATGTCAATCAATCAAAATTGAATGTCACACGTCGACTAGAAATCTTGTCTTCATTGTTTTGCAGGAACGAATGGGGAAGGCGACGATCGACACTTGGGATCAGCCATAGGTTCACAGCCTATGCGCTGAAGAATTCTTGCCTCGCAGGTCGATCGCGTTTTACCTAGACTCGGGGGGTCAGCTCAGCCATAGCCTGGGCTCGCAGTGGATCGATATCCATCACCATCACCATCATGTACAGGAGGTCCTCTGAATCATATGCAGCAGCTGAAAAAGGACACGCTCTCCAAACATGGTCGCTCGCGGACCCACAGCAGCCGAGCGCAAGCTTGCACCAAATTTGGGATCAGCATGTGAGCGACGGCAATTCGCAGCCAGCTCGAGTGTCCAGCAGATGCGCGCTCCGGAATCTCTGCGATGCTTCGCAGATCTTCCATTGCCAACAACAGATTCCGTCAGACACCGTCTGGATTTGCTACATTGGGACTTTGATCCCTGTCCGCAGCCATGCATTCACTCTCTTGGACTCTCTTCTCCAGCTCCTGCTCTACAGGACGGAATCCATCCTCATGTCCCGTGGACTCGACCCCAATCTCTGCCGTCAGTTGTACGGTTCAGCAAAAAGGGGACGGCTCGAGTCAACGCAGTCGTCTTCGCTGCTCGGATCTTCGTTTGTTCGTTTGCTGCAAGTGGCGAATTTGGAGCTTGTCTGTTGCGGGCCCTGCTGACTTGCTCTCGCTGGTCTTCAGTGCGCCATTGCAGTCAGAGATCAACAGAAGCTTCTTCTCCCATCCCCTCCCCTCCCCCTGTGGACATACATGATCGGCTTAAATTTATATCAGAGTGATTTCGGATGCTGCTGGACTGACTGCGACAGACGGCACTGCATCGCATCCATGGGAGTTTTTCGAGGTCCCAGAATCTCGGGAGCTAGCGAGCGAGCGAGCGAGCCGTGAGTCGAGTGTTGGAGCACAGTGGAAGAATTTCAACAATATCTGTCTCATCTGGACTCGGTCTGCAAGTCAGATCCACACTTGCTCTTCCATGTCGTGAGTGAGTGAGGAGAAGTAAGCCCGACGATCCATTGCGTACTGACTACATCGAAACGTATGCGTGAGATGTGAGGAATGTTCTGCATCGTCTAGGCTGGCGTGCTGCTGTTGGTGCAGCAGATGCAGAGGGCACAAACGATGATTGCAGACTTGCACGATGATGAGTAACCCGAATTTGGGAGAAGCTTCTTTTCTACGAAGAATGAACGGGACGAGCTTCGTCGTCGTAGCGAATACCTCTGCGAATATCGCATGCAGTGCATCGTGTTGATGTGAGTGAGGAGATGTGGTCTGCCATTCCATAGAGTGCGGAAGGGCTGATGTCAAGCAGACACAGACAGAGACCTGAATAATGTGTGACACGATCGAGCCGACACAGTGGGAAGGATGAAAGCCAACCCAAGCCAACCCAAGCAGCAACACCAGCCATTTGCATCTGGAATTCCAAGGAATCCTACAAGAATGGGCTTAATTAGATATCTGCCGGAAGCTGGCTGCAGAGTACATCCACTCTCAGGCTTTCTTAAGCCGTATCTAAAGGCAGACATGTCTGATCATCTCTGGGTGTAGAGTCTTTCGAGGGCCCGAAGCCGGCACAGGCTCGCAGGAAATTTGTCGTTCACATGAGCGACCTTCATTGCCACAGGAGACGGGCCACTTTCTTCACCAGAGCAGAGCAGAGCAGAACAGGGCAGGTCTGGCCAACTACAGGAGTGCGATGTACAGCAGAAGAGCCGTGAGTTCTTCCGGGTAGCTGAAGAAGGGACAGTGATCGGATTTCTGCAGACGAAATGCTGCTTCCACCGGGTTGGCCTCGAAGAGTGACTCCTGGTAGCTCGGAGGAAGTAGCTTGTCTCTGCCAGTCACCACGTAAAATCGGCGAACGCTTCCATATCTTTCAGGCGTGAGCGTCAGAGGGAGGGCGAATCCTCCGTAGGGTGTGGATCCCAACAAAGCCAGAGCGAGCAATTGCGTCTGCACAGAGAAAGGAAGCGCGTGTACAGTCAGTGCATAGTCTCATTGCCCTCCATGTCTTGGATGGCAGATCTCAGCTGAATCTCTCGACCCGACAATCACACGGGCCAGATTATCTGAATGGATTTGTGAATCTAGATCTGTTCCACTCATTTATTGCATTGCTCACTTGTCGACAATCTGATCACTCTGGTGGTAAAGTTGAAGGCTTTACTTTTCCTTTCGGTGCTAGAAAAGCCGCATTTGGTGCGTGGCCGACATCTGGGTAGCAACGGACTTTATATGACTAGTCAGTTGAAAGCATGGGGTACCTCTAACGGAGATTCCTGGGCGATGTAGTCGATCACATTTGAGCGGTTGATCGAGATTGAAGTCGGGTTGGAGTTGAGGCCATTCGCGTAATTCAGAGAGAACACTCCATTCGCCAGGAAGCTCGGAAACAGCTACACGCAACACAAGTCGGGCCCACAGAAATGTCATGTCACGCTCCGGAGCTCAGCTGGCTTCAAGTACTCGCACTTGTCAGAAGGTACTCCTCAAGTCCTAATCTTGGCTCAAAGACTGCTCAATCCACAAATTAGAACTCATCTCAGAATTTGATCTTGCAGGAAACCACGTAGAGAAAAATCACAATCTCCATCTCTGAACATTTGGCCATGGGCATGCAATACCAATTGAACGATGCGTCCACCGACAGATATGAGGCAGATCGCTGACATTGTCAATTGTTATCGTAGTGTTGTAACTTTGATGGGCAAACCGCTATCGAAACATGATGCAACATCTGTGTTACATTCAGAATACTGTAATCATCAACGACCAAGCTTGGGGCAGGTACGTGCTTACATCCGGTGGAAATGTGTCAACTGCACTCTGATTGTTCTTGGGCATGATGGCTGTCACATATATAGCTTTGATAATCTTGTGGGGAAACATCTCCATGGCGTAGGAGATTGAGACCCCTCCCAAGCTGTGACCGACCAGTATAACCTGTCGTTCGACAAGATACACGTACTACAAATGTCAGCTGGGGTGAGCAGGATGGCGAAAGGGGCGAATCACACACACACAGAGCAAATAAAATCGTCTGGTTGCAGATAGACTCCTGGGTTCTGGCAAATGGACGAATTGAGCATTGTGAGATGATCAGATGACAGACCTTGCCCGCCACATTTCCCAGATAGTCCGTTAGGGGCTGGGCGAATTGAGCGAGCGAGGTGACGTTGTCTGAGCTCGTCTTGTCGATGCCATTTGAAGTCAGGTCCACAGCCGACGTCTTGAACCCGCTGTGCTGCAACGCAGTGAGCGTTTTATACCAGTTCCACGCACCTCCGCTGGCTCCATGCACAAGCACGAATTCTGCTTCGTCTACATATCTCTGCCCGACCCAATCCTGACATCATCAGTTTTCGTTCAATCACGACGGACGTGCATTCATTGCATTAGGAAAAGCGTGCCCTGTAGAGGTCCACTCGTTCCAAACACCTTCCAGTATTTACACCACGAGCCCAACTCAAATTTTTCTTGACAGCCCTAGCGGGAACCAGAACTCCTCCATAGACTGTGACATCAAACCATTAAAATCTGTGCATGCATTTCCCTCCAAGCTGCACGCATGCAAGCTGATCGTTCAATATGGGGTGACAGTCCGAGTCCGACTCATCGGACTCGTGGAAATCAGGAGAAACTTACCCTGGCATGGACGGGCCGCCACAGCGAGCCACAGCTGAGCAGAAGAAACGACGCCGCAACGAGTACAGCTGCGCTGGAATAGCTCTTCATCATCATCATCATCACAGCTGACGGAGATGTGACGCCCGAAGCTCAGATACTCACCTCACCACTCGGCTTGTGATCCCAAATATCCCCGAGGTTCAGAGTCCTGGATGCCTTGCAACTGGCAACGTGAGAATCCTCTTATACAGAAGGGAAGAGAGAGAGTTCCATCAATCCGTACGGTGACACTTTTGGTGAGTTTCAAGATGAGGTTGATTGATTGTTTTACAACTGTTGACAAAGATCGATTGACAAAAAGCTAGCGGGTTGACAACGCGACAGTTCTACTACGGACATGTAATGAATGCCTAGAAAGAAGGCCGATATCGCAATTGATGGTCTGAAAGTGGCCCAGCGTACGCAAAGTGAGCTCAGCTCCCCATGATGAATCTCCGAAGGACTTTTCATTGGACATCAGGAGAAAGTACCCGGCTAATCTCCTCTCTCCACAATCAACCCATGGGGACTTGACATTTGGTCCATGCGGTTCGCATGTTCGAGTGTCGGATGACTCGTCGAGTTTTATCGTCCACTGTGAATCATGACGAATAGACAAGAATTAAACCAGCCCCTTGGAAAAGGATCGGGTGATTTCCAGCTCCATTAAGAAGTTGCCCCCCTGCTCTGAGGATTCAGTTTATCACCTCCTAAGAAAAAAGTCCACGCTGTAGACTTCGAAGTTTGAGAACTCAATACTCCACCGTTCCTTACTTGCTGCAGCTCCTGGGACTGTACTTCGTGCTCTCTCCTTCCTTCGAGACCAGCATTCTTTCTCTGCAGTAGCCAGAGCTGGAAGAGCGCAGCCATCTCCAGCTCTGGACGGCGACCAAGTTCTAAGCCGTTGCGCAACAGCATCAGTTGCTGGACGGCATGTCCAATGAGTAGAAGTGAGTTCTCTGCCTGTGCAGACTAGTTGGACTCGAGACCTCTATGATCGCCCGATTTGCAAGCTTATACTGCATCGATCATATAAAATTCATATTTCCACGAAATTCACATCATCCTAAGAATTTCAACAGGATAGGATTTTGGTACGTGTCAAAATTTGGTGGGGTTTAATCCACTTTTATATTATTTTATTGTATGTCTTCGTTAAGGTTGTGTAGTCTGGACAACTCATCAGTTGTATCATACGTACATTTTTTCACGGTATGTCTCGATTAGCTTCCCATCTTGAACTTGGATGATCAAAATTCATCCTTACTCATGTTCAATTTCAATCCTGAATGATATTTGTTATTTAGATTATTGTATGCCACATTCTCTGTTTATTTAAACATTTTGTGAGAATTTTATTATAGGATTATGCAGATTTATCTATGGAAATTCTTCTCCGTCATTCATCCAACTTCAAAGCATGCATTATCATGCATTGTTTGAAGCTGACATTTATACTTTCTGATTTTAGTTGTTTGTCTATTTTTACAAAAACAAACTGATGATGATGTGTGTGTGTGTGTGTTAAGAAGCGCTCCTCACTGTGTGGATTCCCATTTCTGTTGTTACGCATACCAAGTTCATCAACTTGATAGCCTTCAAACTTGGAGAAAGTAGCAAGATGACCTTAATACAAAATACTGGAGATGAAAAATATTGTGAATATTTGTTCAACTTCGGCAAGTGAGAAGGACATCTTTATTTTCAGACGTACCTTCTAGCCAAACTTACCAGAAGTAACATGATAGTGGGCAAAGCCCTTCACCAATGTGAGTATCCCATCACTAGGACTGCTATGATGTACACTACTTTACAACTCTGGTGGTTTTCAGACACCAGGTGAACGACAGCGTTCTGTAGCTCTTGACTCGTTCTACTCGCAACACTCCCTCCATAAAGGAATTTGAATGAGACATTCGCCAGTCAAGAGCCCGTCACACTTACCGAAAACGAACTTACTCCGCAACGAAAGCAAATTGCCTAGTGTTGGAATTCTAGATTGGATATATGCGAATCACATATGTCGGGGCAATCCACCACAAGGATTTCACAGACGTTGCGTATCCATGGATGTAGACTCCACTAGGATGAGGTGTCCATGACCTTTCCGCCCCAACTCTCTTGATGTGTTTATTATCTGTTTACTGTTTATATTCCAGTTTGCCATGGTACACGTCGCTACTCAGTAGGAGAGGTTTCTATATCCTGCCAGGCTGTCGCAGGTACATCAAGGCTTGAGAGTAAAAGGAGAATGTACACGTTCGTCTTGTGTTCTTTAAGCCGAAATCAGCCCCTTCGTACTTAGATTACCAAATGAAGTCCTAAATCTGCGATATGATTTTCTTGTTTCAAGACCAGCCCGGCTAGTGTGCTCAAGCTCAAGTCGTCTTGTGTAATAGCTGCTCCACTGTCACTGAAGTCAATGAATCATATCATCAGGACCATACAACACAGGAGTTCCAATTGTTTATTATCTGCACGATGGCGAGCTGGTGGTAGTAAACACATGGGCAATTCACGTTAGGATACGAATGATAAGAAAGCGCGCTTCGAATCAGGTTAAAATCTTTACCGATTCATTTTTTTGACCAACTGAGCGTCAACAAAAAATTCTACATATAAGATACATATAAGGTGCCTGTGTCTTGGCGCGGCGAGGGCACGACCCTATCATCTATCTTCCACGCTAGCATCGTAGATTCTTTCTGTGGTGGATACAGATATTTTCTCCTCAGATGGCACAACTATCAACTCTCTAACATTATCGTATCTTGGTGCTTATGGGCTGAAGATTTCCGGTGTAAATCTCGTTAAAACTAGGTATAAAACTAATGGTGCTTCCAGAAAGCAACAAGCTCAATCTACATACACCTGATCTCCTCCGTAAAGTACACCCTGATTTTGGAAAAAGAACACGACGAGATTCAAATCAACATCGACCATTATTCATACAATCATAAATGAAATTTATCCAAAGGAGGAAGAAGGAAATCTGCGGCAAGAACTGCAGGACAGTGAACTTTGATTGCGCATTTTCTGAGCAGGAAACTAGACTGCATTGTATATGTACAGCACTGACTACTTCTTTAGGAGATACTATGATAGAGGCCTATTTCACATCCCAGTGATATGGGAAAAGCCAAATTCACGGCTCAGGATCTGAACGTATTTCGAGCGCTCGCCAGGTCAAACAAATGTTCCTACCTACTTTACTCGGTCAGCCACGGCATGCCTATCCAGTCGGAGTCTAGCCTTTACCTAAGTTATCGTCCGAAGTCCAGGTTCATGTTCTGCACTGTTTAGGGTTGTGCACCTCTTGCTTGAGAACTGAAATTTCATACAATTCTCAGCACTGTTGAAGCTTTTACTCCAACCTTCTCGGCGTACGGCTCTCGCTCATTCAGGTTCTTAAACAATGTCTCTTGCTCATATTCTGTTCGAAGACAAGGGAACTGAACCTAACCAGCAGTTTTGAGCGAGCTGCTATTTCAAGTACACCAAGGTCCACGAACTCAGTTAGAGTTCGCTTTCTGTTGATCCATTTAGAAGCGAAAGGAGACGCTCACTTGCGTCTCTGACCACTGGTACGGGCATCATCAGCTTCGTGTAACCTATGTGAAGGGTATCATACTCCGCATGCACAGTACCTCTGTGCGTGCATTTGCCCTACATTAACTTGGCCGGGACGTGCGAGTGATTTAAGTCTGCACAAAGTCAAAGAGTTACACAGTTAGTGATCATATAACTTGTGAGATTCAACATCATCTTAATTCCAAGAGATCCAACATGTGTGACAGCAAAAATGGAAAGGAGACATGTCATTTGCATTAAAAACAGTTCGCTAAAGCCGAACCCTAGTAGATGATAAGTCTGGTAAATGTAGATGCATACGTATCAGCTTAGTTACATCCAATTCAGAAATCTCCGAATACAGAATTCTTGAAGCAAGTTAAAAGTAAGAAGACCACTACTGATGCAAATTTATAACTTCATCAACGGGAGTATTATTTATGAATCTGAGATCCGTGTACTGAATGAAGTCCATCCATTCACATTTACGTCAACAACGTCTGAGTGTTTACATCCAGAGAAGTGACAATAGTGTATGACTGGTGACAATCTGCCTGCATACAAAATACAGATCAAGCGCCCACAATCTGAACGTACGCCACTGGCTATGGCCCTGGCAACATCATGCAGGCCCGAAGGACGCAAGTTGAAAGAATCTAAGCACTACATTGATAAATATACGGGGGGTAACAAGGCAAAGAACATACAGACTGGCAAACAAAGTTAACAGGTACCCAGGAGGGGATGTGCAAGTTTGAAATCTATCTGAGGCCAAATACAGATCCAGAGGTTACAAGCAACGTACAAATAAATATGCATATATAGCGTGCATATAGATATGTAAGTCCAACGGTCAGCTCTTGAGCAGTAAAAGAAAACAAATGCTCTAAATGACTTGAAAATGGGTCAATACAAGATCCACTGTGAGGTTCCAAAGAAAAAAAGGCTGTTGATCGATAACATTAGATTTGAATAGTAAAAGATCAGAAGGCGCGGGTGATACCATCCTGACATGGTAAGTAGTGAGGAACGAGAGATAGTTCCAATAAATAAGGCAAAAATGTTTTAAAACTAACACATGAGGATATATTACAATTGCTAAGCCGAGTGCAAAAATGTCATTGTCCCACAGAGGTTGCAAATGTATGAAGACACATGTCCCAAGTCCAAGGTTTCTGTAAGATCTAAGAATCAAGGAAACCATAACATTTTCCAGAAATTTCTGTCCTATGTATTCTATCTTGACGTGAGCATCAATACTTGTACACACACAAGACAAAGTCATTCACAAGTATCAAACTTAAATTGCGAGCTATTAGTCACTAACGAGTAATTCACAAGCAAAGAACATAGAACCTACGTTTCAAACTAGATTGATCACATCATCAGAGAAAGAGCACAAGGACCGAGTAAAACTTCTATATAAAACAAGCACCATCGTGTTGATATCATCGACCAACACTACGCCGAAAATATGTAAGAAGTAATTGTAATACACATAAAAAGTCATAGAAGATACTGGTAAAACACAAAAGAGACAGATATATAGAGCTCTAGACAGTGTAAGTGGAGAGACCAACTAGTCTACAAGATCGATTGTTTAGGGTCAGAGGAAAAAATTATACCTCAGTCAAAGAACCAATATTTTGAAAGCTAGAATAATATTAACAACAAAAAACAGTACAGAAATATTCGGAAACGAGATTGATCTTTGGGACTGTATATAATATTAGAGTTAGTCTTGATAGAAATACCAAAAAAATGGCGTCAAAATAAAATCGAAAATCTGACACTCAGCAAGTATCATACATGAATCAGCTTGTTCTTGAGCACATAAAAAGAATTGATATGCTGTGGCAATATGTATATTTACCCTCATTGGCTACAATGTGCGGTGGTCAATCACACAAGTCCACAATTCTCAGTGTAAAACAGTGATGGTCGTGATCATAAACTACAAACATTTTCATCTGCTCCTATCTTTGACAATATATTGGAAGTATTAGTATTAAGAAATACTTAATCACCTGATACTAGTTCAGTTCCTTAAAATGAACAAGATTACGAGTTAACTGTGTAGTCGATGGTTTGAGCACACTTTTTGACGAACCCGTACGAACAACATGTAATGTGCTGCCGTTTGTCATGAGTAAGTGACAACTGCAAACTGGTAAGCTCCTTCGGAGAATGCCGTACTCTTCCACAGAGGGCCTATTCTAGAAGAACTAACCCATTATGAGCTTACGCTCAAACGATTAAGGCATACTTCCAGTCACAAACTTCCCGACTTTCTTGGACAGCCGAATCCCCAGTATGGAGGAGAAGTCAAGGCCAACAAGCTGTAACACAGCTAAGGGAGAGAGATCGTACATAAGGTTAGCTGTGATCTTTCTTTGCGTTCTCTTTCCCTATAACGTCTGCTTGAGATCTTGGACATCAATGTGCTGTCCAATGACTTTATCGGATTGCATGGGCCTCGAGTCTCTGTGAACAAGGAAAAATTACATATTTAAGCCATCCTTGCTGCGAACCTGTGTCGCTAAATACCCCAACTTTTCAGTACTAGGCTTCAATATAACACTTCTTACGACTCTTTAGATGATCAATATGAGCATGACCAAGGTCTTGCACCAAAACGGCCTAAATGGTTTCTAAAACACTTCATGTATGTTGTGAACGTCACCACGTAAACGAGAGGATGAGGAAGTATGTGTGGGGAGGGATGAAACACAGCACAACCCCAAAAGGCTGAGTCTCTAACAGTGAGAAGCAAACCGTGCAGGAGAAGTGCCATGTCTGAATTGGTCACGCCATCCCAACACCTATCTTCACCAAGGCTCGTGCGTGTGTTCTCCACGAAAACGATAGGAGGCCATAAAATCAGTTCATCTTCTTTCTTGATACTGGTGTTGCTAGCTGAAATATTCGTGTTGTTCAGCTTCAATATTTCAGTCAAAGCTTTGCGAAAACCCATGTGATCAATCCTCTTGCTTTGAACTTGAGATCCTTGAGCATGTGTCAGCAGGTCGTAGATAGAGGAAAAGGTATTGGAAGCTCTGCATCCAACCCACATTCGATATCCCGGGTCGAATTTGAATCTAACAGAAAGTATTGAAAGGCAACTAACTGTAAGGCTCAGGGATCTACGATTTAGCAGGTCACCATCGCGAACAGTTAAAAAAGTAGACGTGATCATCCCTCAAAGGAGTTAAGTGCAGGTTTGTTTCAACGACAACTGTTATTAAGAACCTCAAAAGGTGGGCTAGAACCAGGCCATCTATGTCTCCGTTTAGCCGGGCAGCCGCCAGATCATATTTGTGTCACTGACGAGAAGGCTATATAAAGATAATAGCAAGAGCGGTACTAATGCTCTTGAAACGAAAAACCCCATCCCCTGACAAATCAAGATATCTAACAAGAGTGAGGTGAACGTTCACTGGTTTCATGAACCATATATGTTGAAGAGGATTGACTGAGGAGAAAGAGTTACTAAGCAGACACTCACAAGTTCTGACCTTTCAATCTTACACTTAGCTAATGACTTGACTAAATCATGGAGGTCCAGGTAAATATCTCGGTGAGAGGTAGCTACCATTGATTTCTCGTTCTCTTGGAATTGGTAAACGAGGAGATTTTCTCCTTCGTGTGAAATCCAAAGAAATATGCTGTTTAGGTATGGGTAGGAACCAGCTTTGAGCATGTACTGATATGCCCTGCCAGTACTTAGAAAGACCTAATGCTGAGAACTCATGTAATGAAAGCGCATGTGATCGCGTAAGTTACTCCTGATCCAAGAACGTCCCTAATTGCAAGGGAAGTTTATCTTTACCCCGTCATATTATTTAGGTATCTATTTTACGAAAGCCCCAAGAAACTAATACTCTACGTCCCATAATAGAAAAAGAGTTCGATATGGCAAATGTGTGATACGAGTCATATAATAATCATAGTGAGAGGAGGAAAGATTTCTCATAGAGCAGTGCATGGCGTAGTCTTACGACCCTGATCCGACAAAGGGGAGAGGAAGGGAATGAGAGCTCACTTTCCACAAACGAGGCAGTGCAATCCAGGCTGTCCTCCCTGATACCTTCTTCTGAGATAGGGATCGTCATTAATCATTCGTGAATACCGGGATCCAGACCTGTTCACCTTACTTATGAAATCTACTGAGAGCTCATTTGCATCATAGTAAGTCTCCTCCACTTCTCGAAGATGTCTCTGCCGCTCTGCTAGCATTCGTGATTTCTTGGCCCTCTCTATCTCCATAACTAAAGATGGTCGCTTAGGAGCTTCACGTGGCTCTCCAGGTTTGGATCCTGATTTTAAAATGGGTTGAGAATTTCCATTCGCAGAATTGCTTGACACACCGTTCGGTCGGGCATTTCCTGTATCCTTCTTTTGAGCGTCTCCAGTAGCCTTCCCAGCTTCAGCTTTTGGACCTTTCGGACTCTCACCTCCAACTACAGTGTTGGATGGAGCAGTAGGGGTTCCAACTGCTAGTGTTGTTTGCTGTGTTGTATTCCCGTTCCCAACAGCGGAGGATCCAGCGGCACTTGATCCCACATTAGTTGACTTTCTGCCAATCGGTTTCTCACTGGGCTTCTCCACGCTGCTCTTCTTCGTAGCCATTTCAATGGCAGCTACCAGTGAAAGTGACCTATCAGAAGCACCTCCAACATTCTTATCACTCTTGCTTACACTTCTGGAACCATTAACCGCAGCGCTAACATCCTTTTCCCGACGTTCAGTCCGAAAAGGTTTGTTGTTGCCTGCGTGTCCGTTGTACCTTCTGTTGGTCACATCCGTGCTTTCTTTGGCCGCTCTTTCTGCAGCAACTTTTTCAGCGCGCTCTCTTTCGATGTACTTGGTGACAAGACCTACTCTTTGATTAACCACTGAATAATAGGGGTAGGGCCTTGCAATCGTCGCACGGTAACCTCTGGACTGATCACCAAAGTTTGGTCCCATCTGACCCGGACCGGAAACTGAAGGAGGCCTCAAGAGGCCATCCTGATCTTCCGGTCTCACGAAGAGGCCGTCTGTCCCGTGTCCCTTGTTTGACATAGACCATCCTTGGCCCAATCCTCTGAATTCGTCTCTACTCAGATCCATTTCTGCGCCATAGCCACCACCTAACCTTTCCGGAGCCCCTCGTATACTGTCTGCTCCATACGCTCTGCTATCCCCCACTCTCGCTTCTCTGTCACTTCCACTCCAAACGGCAGGTTTGCTCGGTAACACATCCCACTGAGAGGGAGGCTTGGCACCATCTCTCCAAATCGGACTTCTAGGAGGAGAGAGTGGGCGAGGTCTCATTGGTGCGGCAAGGCGAGTGGGGCTGAGAGTGACAGCTTCATACTCCCATCCCACTCTCGGACTCATAGGAGGTGATAATCCAGCTCCCCTTCTTGGACTCATGGGGAAGTCCTGACTGCGCAAGAGCTCTTCTTCCCGGTTTTTCCTCGATCTGCCCACCATTCCCATATCACTGTAATCTCTTCTTCTAGGATTGATAGGTGGAGACAAATCGTCTCTCCGAGGACTCATCATCCGAGGAATATTGTCATATGGGTCTCTACGAGAACTCATGGGTGGGCTAAGGTCGTCATGTCTGGGACTCATCATACTCACAATGTCATCCCTCCTTGGACTCATTGGCATGGCTCTGGGGCTCAAAGGAGGTGCGAATGTGGATTCATCATCTCTACCGTACCCTACAGCTTGAACTAACCGGCCTTCACGAACAATCTGTCTCCCTTGATAGCCAATACTTTGCATATTCTGAGAAGCAGATGCAAGTGAGAACTTGGCATCTTCTGAAGTCATGTACCCATGATATCCAGAGACCATACCACCCTTCCCTACCAACTCACCGGACAGTCTTCCACCCAAACCCATCCCGACGTCAGAATGTCCTCTATTGAGAGCTTCGGGACCTGGATACATCGTTCTTATAGGTCCATCTGCAAGCTGAACCTGCTCGTGGGGAAGAAGGCCATAATTCTCGTACAGAGAACTACTATTGGGCCCTCTCAAGGATGAGCTTGAAAACTGATTATCTCCTCCAGGCACTAAATCACCACCCTCACTGTAAGAATGAGATCTACCACCGAGGTGCTGACCATGATTGTTCACAAATATCTCTGCTCCAGAAGTTGGCATGAGGCCAGATCTGGCCATACCGACGGCACTTCTGTTAGATACAACTCTACTGTCCATGACTGCATAATGAGGAGCCTGTTGTAACATTCTCCTTGGACCGGAAAGTTCCGTGGTTCTCCTCCCACCACCGCCCAAACCCAGCCCTCTAGGGTTCACAGCCCCAAGTTGCTGGGGACCCCCTTCGAATGAAGAGTATCCTTGATAGTTGCCATTATTCTGGCTAGCAAAGTTCATCCTATTCCGGCTCGCCATCGTTCAATTCAGTCAGACACTTTCAATCAATGTGGTTTGATGATGTTATCTTATGTCTTACTACTACTGCATTCTCCTTGTCCAAGCACTTGTGTCCCTAATTTTCTATCCCAACCGGTCTGTGAGGGGCTACAGTGGCAGGGAAAAACTCTTCACCTCTCCCATAGAACACACTGAAGCAGCAGCCGCTCTTCAATGCGCCTTATGCCTCTCATCCATCCGTAGAGAGCCAGGCCACCACAAAGAGGACGAAAGCTGAAAACAAAAGACCGAACATCACGTCTCAAATTGCACCGCCTTTTAACGACCACGGTGTCAAGCAAATCAGTAATAGACACTTCACCATACTGCTCTAAAGTATATATCTCATTCACTATATTGCTCTTTTCAGAAAATCTCTGAGACAAGATATACATGAACTGAAAAGTATTTAGCTGTCCCACAACTGATCGAGATGATGTGTATAACATTGTTGAGCGTAGCACCATGAGACCTACAGTAGGGTCTCTCCAAAAAGGACCAACCACATGCTTCCCTAGACTCTCAAAAGCTTGCCCAAGGTCTTGCGAGGAGAAATTAAAATATGGATGAAGCAGGGATCCGTTGAGCCTTGTATTCAGTAACCGACTGTCCGATTTAAATTTAAAAGGGCAGACATGATCTGTGAGCATATGCTAGGCCCGAGTCCTCGATGGGCTCAAATCACTACCATGTTGTCCCACGACTCGATAACCACTCCCTTTACCAGTCTAGAACCCACCACACACATCATTGTAAAATCCCCACACTGAACGAGAGAGAGAATCGAGAGGGCGTGGAGGAATCTAACAGAAGTACATTGAAGCTGAAAGATGCAGAGTTTTCACGAACAGGAGAGACTTGATGGACAAGAAATGTCCTAATATATTATATCTTGTCCTTGCTTCATTAATCAGAACATGCGTTATATAAATTTCTCAAAACTTCTGATATTGATTTCGCAGACTTTGATTTGTCATTGATGATAAACTACATGTTGACAATTTCTACCGTATTCATCATGTTCCATCGATAAATTACACCTCATGTACAGCGACTGTGCATGTGAATGAGAAGCTCTCTCAAAAGCAGAAGACACACAAACTCAACAAACAACATCTTGTACCAGTGCGATGCCAAAATACTTCAGAATGCAAAGTTGAGAAAAAATACTGGCTTGAAAGCCAGTTCTCGTGCTAAAAAAGATTATATCTATTAAGAAAATATTTACCATATATTCCTCCTTCCTGACAGTTCCTTGCTCTCCACGATCCAAGGAACTACGAAATGCCTCCAAGAGTTAAGGGTTCAGATTACCACCTCCAGAAGATCCCCATCTGTTGGAAAAAAGGAGACAGAGTAATTAGGACCGCAAACAGAATTAAAAAAACACGATCTACCTATATTGTTCTCTATCTGGATCTGACTCACCAACAACGAAAATTTAGCTGCGCTATCTCTCCAACACAAACAAGCCCATACGCAATTCTACTCTGACAACCAACAAGAACATACTTCAACTCCTTCAGTCTATTTTCTTGAAGTCCTCAAGCCGGGCAGCTCGTAAAAAGACTACCCCAGTATCCAGACATCTAAACTTCAAAACTACAAAACGGCAACAATCAAATCTCTGTCCACATAAGAAAAAATAGAATTTGAGTTTATTTCATCTCTTCGAACAAATTCAAGAGAAAGCGTCACTTCCTAAAACTCAGCGTCTGCGTGCACCTACTGAAGAAAAATGAGAAGTAGGTAAACTTGTAGAAGAACGTGAAACTCAGGAAACAAGATGCCACATAAAACCCAAGAAGCACACTCAGTCACAATCCCAAGCAGTGTAGAACTCACTCACTTCTCATCCAAGAGATGTTCCGCAAGGTGTTCACCTCGATAGCAATCAACTGGACCTAACGCTAGAAAGAATTCACCTACGGCTTTATTACCAGCAAACCCGAAGGAAAATAGCGGCTACAAAAAAGACAGTGATCAGACAATTCCCTCAGAGCTCCATCAATTCGTTAACCACGCCAACAAGAAGACACAATCAAGATTCTTTCCAACCGAGAATCGCGACACCGATCCACCCCTGCTCAACATGAACCCAAACATCCACACCGTCCCGGGCCAGCCAACGTAGCAAAAGTCAAACGCAGTACCAAGAAAGCACCAGCTTTCAGCGTCACCTCTGGGACCGTACATCTCTGCAGGGGCGGGGGATGTCTGACCTTATCGATGACAATCGTACGACCTAAGAGAATGCTGCCGATGAGCAAATTGCCCCACGCTGCACAGATCCAGAAAGCAGAGCGAGCAGGTCGTCGATCGACCGACCTCTCTCCTTCGATGCCATAAAACATTCCCGCAACGGGGAGAAGCTATCCCGTTGCGCTGGAGCGGGCCCTGCTTCCTGTCGAAAGGTCTGTGGGGCCCGCCAACGACTCTCGACGCTCTCCTCTCGAGTCGTGTGTCGGCTTGACTTGCAAGAAGCGGTGTTCCCCATATTTGGCTCTTGCTCCGGTGGAGAACGCTTTTATCCGATGGACTTCGTTTAGCGGTAATCTGCATTCAACTGTTTCCCTGTGTCGTGAGTTTAACCGTCCGCATCGGACGGCAAAATTGGGCCCTTCGACTAACCTCTAGATTTCTCAAGTGACTCTTGGTCATGTGTATGTGGGAAACTGCTCGTTATCTGGAGGGCATGCGAGCTCTCCACCTCTTCGGTAGACTTCTCCCTTGAATTTCCTTTGCAGCATGTCTTTGACTTTTTGACTATTTACAAAACAAAGGAGATTTTTCATATTTGCAGCAGGATTCTTTAAATTAAGAAACAGGACACATAACCATATTGATGTAGTTTACTTTCTTTCCAATCCCTTTAATCATATGAAAGTTCTGTAAAAAATATTGTATATATATAACATATTTAAATATCAGTCACATTTGAAGCTTTTATTTTTATATTGTTCAAAGTATTTTCAGATAAGAAAATAATTTGAGATATTTATAAAACAAATAAACATTTTAAATTATGGTGATATTGATTTTAATATATATACACCCAACATACACCCATATAGTTTCAACGGCACATACCCAAGAAATATTACACTATATATTTCTTGGGTGTATATCACTAAAACTGCGTGGGTGTATATACACTAGAATCATTACACTCTTAAGTTATGAAATCTATCATTAATTTTCAATTATTTGAAAATTTGTTTCAATTCAATTTTTACTCACTTGAACATGATACTGATCAATTTTTGTTAACTGCACTAGAATAAACTCAAGCATATCTTTATATATATTGAAATCATTGTACACACAAATAAAATAAACTTGTACTGTACATCAAAACTCAACTTAATTTTTTATCTCATTAATCTTGTAGATAATACCAAATCATGAACCTGAATTCTTCATAAATACTAAAAAATGATATATTATTTATATTAAAAATTAAGAATTTGACATATTTCCAAAATATCTCATTCATTTTCTTATTTATCAAATTTAACTATTATACTATATGCAATTTTATAATATAATATCCAGAGCTTGGTTATGAGGATGATTTTCCTGGAAGTAAAACTGGGTGAGTTCATGATATACCTACAAGTGTTGTGCATCTAATAAAAAAAAATAAAAATTCCTCATCTGCTAAAGACAAATCCTCCTGAAGAATTCTTCAAACTGTTTATATATGCACCAGTATATTTAGCTTTCGTGGCCAACCAGCTACAAGGCTCGCAGCGGACAAATGATGATGCATGCCACTTACTCACTTTCTCAGTTTCACTTCACTCCAGCTTCTCTTCTGTTATACTTTTGTTGATACTTTACATTTGATTCCTCAACATGCTGCAAGTTCTCCTGCAAGTTCCCCTTTTGCATGCACACACTCTCTCACTCTCACTCACTCTCTTTCTCTAGCACCTTCATAGGATCGGCCTCTTGTAATCCGTTCGAAACTTGGCAAAATATATGGGCCAAGCGTGAAGATGCTCCTCAGTCATCCTGGCTGTCACGTTGAATAAAATGCTGGGATTCATCTTGATAAGGACATGATCTCACAAAGTTTGTCCATCGCTTTCATCTTCACGTTGTGTTTCAAATATGTTCCGACCTCCAGCAAACATCAGGCTTTCAGCAAAATACATCAAAATACTCAGTGTCACTATTCTATACGTGCTGACAATTTCTTCCCCTCATGGAATAGAACATAACGTTCTTGTTAGTGTTCAAGCTTCACCGTGGATCTGATCTAGTACTTCCTCCAGTTCTTTGATATAGAGGTGAAGATGGGTTGGAGAGATTTTACAAGGTTGTTTAACTCCCTTAGTTTTAACTAGTTGCTGGTGATTTAGACAATCTTTGAGAAGTGAAGACTTATGTTGGACCTTAACATAGAAATTCTAAACTGCTGAGGTCATGTGACTCTCTGTGATTTCAGACTTTAGAATCACCGATGCCTGGACACTTTATCTTAAATTACTGCACAAAATAACAAAACTCAGGTGAAGATTTGTGTGTTGATGTTGTGGATCTCCTTCCTAATTCTAAGAGTCCTTGAAATGAGAACGAATTTTCTACAAAATTTCCTTCTTCAATTCCAACACGACAAAAAGCTAGAATATTAAATCCATCTCACCAGTTGACTAACCTTGGATGAAACGCTTCTGTCAAGTGAGAGAGATTAGTGCATTAACGTCCAGCCCAGGAACATGCATGTTCCCTAACATAGAATTCAGCCAGAAAAGACGAAAGATTCACGACATAAGAAACTGGTTTCTATATTTGTAGAGCTTATTTGTAGAGACACGATTTCCAATGTGTACATGGTCACTATTCCCAAGTAGGATTTGGCTGGCGAGATGATTTTATCCGTGGAAAAAGCGTATGAGTGGCTCCTTTCATTTAAACGAATTGGTAACTCTTCACGTCAGATGCAAGACAGCAGAAACAGTTTTCATTGGCATCTCGCGGGACAGACGATGTGCCCTTGATCGTTGCGATCCTTGTGGAGACCGAGAGCTACTGCCAAGCACTTTCATTGATGTGCAAACACGGGTCGTCAATTCCTCGTAACCGAGATTTCCTATGCTCTACATACATGTCTAGTCCTTCAGATAACCCACACGATTCTTGCTGCACCGCATCCCAATAGTACACTTGATGTAACTTACGGCCTTTTCTGGCCTTGGAGAAAAGTCCGGATTGTGGCTCCCCTCAATATTCAACGGCAGCACACATAGTAAAATGGCTAATGAGAAATTTGGGATTCAATCAAAATTTGCATCCAATCAATTTTTCATCCATGCTATATATTTGATTTTTATATTTGCATCCATGCATTTCACATGCTTGATCGATTCTGATTTATCCATTCCATTGCATCCCAGCATTTTGCTGAAATGCCGGAAGCCAAGTCCGATATACACAGATATATGAACGGGTCAAATGCTTCCGGATCGACGTTGTCTGACAGACGGAGTCAAATGCCGAGGGCAGCCAGCCTTAAAATTCGATCGATATTTACAGGGTTTGAGTAAGTTCCAACTACATTTTGAGTGTTTGAGTCTACATGGAGAGACGAAACATTGAATCGGTGAAACTGGGCCTACTTCTAGTCTCCATAGACTGCATTCTGAATTTCGTCTCATTCAGTTTCATCTGCCATGTGCTTGAGGTACGTGCTGCGGTGGACCCATGCAATTTCATGTACCACAGCAGGTTGTGAAGCATATCGTGGTGGAGCTGATGTGAACGCTTCTAGACTCACGAATGATCAATTTCCCAGTGAAACTTTTGGCTGACATTCTTATGGCTGGTTCGGCATCATAACTCAGAGGAACCTTAGTGTACTCGTCACGCTGGTCACTCTAAAAGCATGACGGTCATACGAGTGCGTCTGATTCTCACGCTCCACATATTGCGTTCAGATACACATGTCCGAGCATCAAGTCGACAAAATTCTTGTAGCCTGCAGGTTTAGCAATGAAACTCTTAATGTTGGCAGGAGGACGGCCATAGTGCAGACCGTCGTTTGTCACATGGTCGTAATGCCAAGGGAAAGTAATATCGAATGCATCGATAAATTGCAGGTTTTTGGGATTCAGCTGGCTCAGTCTGTCTTGTAGCAGGTGGTTGTAAAACTCCATTTTCTGGGGATTCATGGACAATATGCGCTGCTGCCCTCCTGCAGCAACGGTGGAACGATAAATAATCTTCGGTCTTTCGGCCTTCATGTTTTTCCAGACATCGTCCCAAAACCTCCAGGTGTGCTCGACACCATCGTGCAGAAACTGCTCGACTTTCTTCCAGTACATGCCATCGTGCAGGCCGGAATTCATGATCAGGAAATCTGGAGCCGTGTCGTTCTGGAAGTGGGACCGGATGAAAGTCTGATACTGCGGGTTCAGCAGAGACGACAGCCCTTCCCACTTCCTCTCGACCTCGTGGTGCCCATTGAAGATATTGGTGATGCGCACTGAATACTTTCCACCATCGTTGGGTGAGTCGATGACCTTGTCAAAGACTCTCGGGATGATCGACAAGCTCTGCTTGAACCCCAGCACGCTGTTCAGAAGATTCGTGATGGTGTCTTCCATGTTGGAGTCTCCCCAGAAGTACAGCCACTTGTTGTTCAAGCACTTCCAGGCCTCGTCCTCCGAGAAAATCCTGAACGCGCAGTGAGCCGAGTACACCCAGCCATCGCTCTTCAGACTGGACAGAAGCCCCTCGCTCCACACCTCCTCCACGAGGGCGTCGGGATCACGGCAGCTCACTTTGCCCTGCTCATCCATCGGGCACTCATACTCCTCCTCTTTAGTCCAGCGCCCCGTCCAGTACTTGCGCTCGAAATCCTGCGGCTGACAAAGTCTGAGCTTGAGCGATGAAGAGCTCGAAGGTGGAGCTAAGGACGACAGAGAAGCACTTCTGAGCATTTTGGAGATCCAGGACGTGTCGGCCACAGTGTGGATGACCTCGGGCAGGACAAAATCGATTTCGAGGCTCAGAACTATTTGCTGGCGAGCCCATCTGGCGGGATTCCGGTTGAGCCCCTCGTAGTTGGCGAACAGCAGAATTATCGTGAAATTGTGCGCTCCAGCGAAGCGCGGATGAATCTGAAACGTGATGGAGTACGTTCCGTTGTTGTGGTCCAGCACCGGCGGCCGCGACTTCCACTTGGGGCCCTGCAAATCCGTCTCGAAGTAGTCGCCTCCGACACATTGCTGCTTCCCATCGTTGCTGATTGCAGCCAGTATCACTTCGTATTTGGACCCCGCTGCCAGACGAACACGAGCCTTCCTCTTGCTGCTGCTGCTGCCGCCGCCTGAAGGTTGTATGAAGCCTGGAGGGCCCTTCATGATTTGAATTCTGCTGGTCCTGACATTCAGGCATCCAGATTTATCGACACGATTAAAAGGCTCCAGAAGATAAGCTGTTTCATTATCCACGAGCGGGAACTCCAGCCATTCTTGTGGCCCCTGGGGAGCAGTTAAATCGGAGGGCGTAAGAGGCTCGTCCACTTCCTCACTGGCCTCGATACTGGAATGTTCGTGCTGCCTCTCCAGGTCCACGACGATTGGCTTCTTGACATCGCCACTGCCTTCTGGCCTTGTGGTGCTCCTCGTTGAGATGGAAGCCAGGACAGATGAAGGGCGTTCTTCGTGCAACATTTGACTGGAAGTGGTAGAAACGGAAAGGATTCGAGATTGTTTCGTCTCGGCACCGGATTCAGCAGCTCCATCGCTCTTCTTCAGCCCGAACGTAAGAGGGCCTGATGCAGGATCCCGGCCATTTTCCAGGCGTTGGTCTGAAGCAATTCTCGAAAGCTGATAGTGATTTTCATGACCAATCGGCTTGAGGATCTTATTCTCCAGAAAATCGCTGAGAGCTTGCCCGCTGGACTTGAGGGACCTGCTCGAGTCTGTGAGCGTCGAGTTTTCGAGTGGCAATCCTCCCGACGTGCTAAACATCCTGCAGCTGACGATGAAAAAGAATGCACCGATGGAAGCAGGCAGCACCACAAAAACCATGAACCAAAAGAGGTGTATCACCCTCCGCCTCATGTGCGTCTGGAATCCCCATGAATCGCTTGCCCTCCATGATCTAGACCCAAACGAAGAACTGCGGCTTCTCGCCAGGCTCCTCATTCTGCCTGCGCAGATTCTTCGCCTTCCTCTACTGACAGCTCGAGATTTGTGTTCTGTACAGGGAAAAATGTACAAACGGACCAAAATACGAAGGGAAAAAATTATTGAATCAATGAATCAATGAATCAATGAAGAATGGATGAATTGCTGTCTCAACAGAATCACTGAATTGGATTCAGTCAAAGGCAGACCACGACGTATCTACGCTTGACAGAATGGCTTCTATGCAGTCACTTAGCCGCACGAAGACTGCTAATTTAAATCCGCTGCTCTCTGAATGCATCTGATCCCAAGTATGCAGAAGGGGTGTGGCTTCAAGATGGAGCCACGAATCCGGTCGAGAGGAACACCAGCTGCTCACCAAAGTGATGAAGCATTCAGATTCAGCAGGCAGGAAAAAATTGCAGTTCTATTCTCCTCAGCTATAGGAACGATGTAACCACCGACATACGCTTTAGATCTAATTGTTTTTCCGTATTGCATATGCTCTACTTCAGACTATCTGTTTTTTTCTCCGTGTGAGACTCCTCCATGAATTTTCTTCGTATGCTATTGCCGGTCTCGACATGTACGAGTCCTAGCGCAACGAATCTTCAGGTGAATGAAAGAAGATCCATGGAGATGACACAGAGACGAAGAGCTTGACGTCTTCTCTACGGGTGGTACTCACGGCAAGCCACCATGGCCGTTATATAGTTGCAGCTCCGATTGTCCATTCAGATAGAGATGGCTGACATGTCGATTGCAGCGGCTTGTCATCACACCCCTTGGTGCTCAGAATAATCTAAACAAGACTTTTCTGTGGGTTAACCGGGTCTCCAGGCCCATCTGGCTCCAGATCCAAGCCATCTTACTTTACACTTAAATCACATGCACCAATTGCAAGTGCTAGTTTCTGGACGAGCGTTCACTGTCTGGTGGATCGTGTCAGGTTATATTGATTTAATACGCAAATCCCCTTCGCTGCAAGCTGTGCTCGAGCCCAGGCACAGTACATGTCTTATCATTCGCAGTTTTTTTACACTACACACTTGTTGGATTGAAATCCAGCTCGTGCGTATGTGTACCAATCATTTCGAAAATCGACATCATGCCCCAAAGGAATACATGCATAGGATTCGAGTTGACAACAATTATCATTCTACAGCTCTCTTCGAATCTACCCTTGAGCTGGGTGTAGGCTAAGACATGCAGTGTGGTTCATTCTCCATGATCTAAGATCGGTTTTCTATCTTTCGAGTCTTATAAAACTCTTCCTCCACACGTCGGACGAGTCTGTCGCCCCAATAGGGGCGACAGTTGACTTGACAGATTCTCAGGAATGCGGTCAACCTTATAAACAAAACGCTGATCATGTCCACGACTTTGCGTTCAGAATACGATCCACTGTGATTATATTTGGGGGATGTGTATACAGTACTTGCGATTTCCCTCACTCGGCGTGAATTCTCTCCATGTCCGGCTCTCTTCCATCACAATAGCCGGACGGAGAATCAACGCTGCCAGCACTTTATCAGACTGGTTCCATCTTCTTTTAATCTGCCAACACTGAGCAAGCTTTGGCTCTGAATCATCACAAAAGCAGCGAAAAGTGAGAGGTCTTTAGATTCATCTCAGGGGTCTCTGCGATGACAAATACGGAGAACATCTTCGTACTGTGCTGAGGATCTTTGACGAGGGCAAGACTATTTCCCTATCTGCTTGCAACATTTTCACACTTGTCAACTCTCTGGAATCCGTCAGACTTGAAAGATTGTGGTATCAGCCTTTGTCGAATTCGTCGAACATATCTGGGACCTCAATCCGCCCAGATTTTAGTCTCCCCGTTTTCAACTTTTCTGAGCGTCAGCAACATTCCTTCCAGAACCATTGCTTTGGCTTGTGCATTGGAAGATTCCTGATCCACGGTAGAAGACATCGGTTAGAAAACAATTATCGACTCCCCGTATGTGGTTTAATCCTGGCTTCAAGCAGGTGCAGATCTCAGATCTGTACACATAAATAATAGACTTCCCCTGCTGATAGACCTTCAATTCAATCGGACCAGACCACCCTCTCCCTTGCGTACAACAAAAGACAAAATGGATACCACTCAGCCTTCTTCCTCTCGCTATAACTCTGCGTTAGCTGTTACTGCCATGCATGACAATTATATCTCTAGACCTGATTCGTATCAACTTCCCATAAATCCCTCCTGATGATCACATAGGTTGTTATCGATGATCACAACAGCTGAATCATCTTGAAGATGAGGAAATGATACTACCAAGGATACTTTCTTGGTAGTATCAATTTTGCAGCCATGGTCACACGTGCGCTCGTTGACACTAAACAAAACGATATCTCTAAAGAACTTTTCAATCTAATCCATCGTTCTTTTTCTCGTCATTAGACACAAGATTTATCGAAATTTCGTTTATTTCCTTCTTGGTTATCCACTTGGCCCCCAGACCAATATGACCCAAGTGTCCTTGTCATATTCGTGTGCCCCACTCCTTCCATTGCGCTCGTTTTCTATTTGGAGTCTATGACATACCGTTTGGGCTCTCTCACACAACTTTAAACGAACCATAGTGTCATCATCAATTCTCAACCTTGCAAAATCCTCAGCTACCCACTCCAGCTGTCGCAGGTAAGGTCTCACCTACTGTACCCTTGAGGCATCTTCTTCCCACTAGCAACTTGAACACTTGTCTTGTCTCTAAGAGAATTCAAGTTTCTTCTTCATGCTATAAACTGTTTATTGCTCCAATCTAGATCTTTTCATTGATGACATGTGTTTTCTCTTAATTCGCCTCTTGCAACAGTGCGAAGGGAAAGCTCTACTCCTCCCTTGAAAATCTCAAATTGGTCTACTCTTTTTCCGAACCAAAAACTCTTATTTGCAATTTAAGTCCTCTCCTACTTCTCTTCTTCATTCTGTCAAACCATATATTGTACTAAACCATATATTTGCTAGACTAGTCACAAAAACGAAGGCAAGACTTGGCCTCAAACATCCAACTATGTCCCTACATAAGTCAAAGTGAGAGAACTGAATATTGAAAAGATCTGATGATAAAATTAGCTGAAATGATTCGTTACGTAAACTCGTAAGGACTTATGAGTGAGTGACTTGGTAGATACATCATGCATCAAAGGTCATGTGAAGATAGAGAATCAAGTGAGATGTAAATGTGGATACAAAGAAAATTTGAAAACAATTCTAGAGTGGTAGGAATAATCAACATGAGACTTTATCAGTTGATATAGTCAAGGCAAGGAGCATCAATCTCCAAATTTGCCAATTCAAGTGTTGGGACTAAGTCGTTGAAAGAATTCTAACATTTTTATTAAAGAACCGGGTAGGCTTGCACTACAAACGTGATCAAGTATTAGATTTTCATTCAGAAAAATCTCCTTATTTTGTAGTTTAGATCAGCCAAGATTATAAGTGTTGAATGAAGGAGAGACGTGCAGTTCAATATAGTTGAAGAAGCCAAAGAGGAGTACAGTACTTGGGTGTTGTTGGGACTTGGAATTCACAAGGTAGAAAGAAATATTAATTTTTTCACTGCGCAAACAGACATTATTGGAAAAGTGTGTGGAAGAAATGAGTTTTTGCATGTAAAGTAAATCATCAATGAAGCCTTTCTTCAACTTTCAAAATTGATTGCAAGCAGATTCTGTGTGATGATATTTCGAGATCAACAATGTATTTGTCAAGAGGGATTTTATGGCTCAGGGTTCAGGGCGTAACCCTAAACCCTTAATAATTGAAAAATATATGCTAAATCATGTGTTTAATCTTTTTTCAATTCTAATATGTAAATCTATGAATTGAAACTGTATTTTATTCAAGTTTTTAAAGCTATATTATTTTATGGTACATATAAAAAATTATTTTTCATAATGATTGGTTGCCAAAATCGCCTTAACTATATCACATATATTTAAATTTCATAAAAATTACATGCGTGACAATTCTTGCAAAAATGTTTTTTGGGGGATTCTTAGAACTAGCGTAAAATTGGAAAAATATCTTGTTTTATGTGATTGATTTTATTAAAAAATAAATATTGAAAATTTCTTAAATTTAGATATTTGAAAAAATTGAAGAGAGTATCACAATGTTAATGTAATAAAAATTTTAAATATGGTTATCTTAAATCTATATCTTATTAAACTTATAAATATTTCTTGATTTTACCACAGTTTTTGAATAGTTTTGAATCTCATGAGTAATTTTCCAGTTCTAAATAAGCAAACATGTATAATATTCAATTCCATATGTTTGAAAAAGAAATTTGAAAAAAACATGCGTAAAAGAAGTTAGAAGTTGATTGAAGTTGATTGTATTAATTATGTTAGAATCAAAGCTTAAAATATTCAATCCTAAATAAACTATGAAAATCCCAAAAAAATGTCGTAAAGATGGAATGAAGTATTATTGACTTATATATTAATAACTATTAAAATAATTGAAAATTAAAGTGATAACTTCAAAAATTTGATATAGAATACGGTCAAATGTAAGTTGAGGAGATGTAAAAATATAAATTTTAAGAGTATCTACTTGGTCTACATGATCACATCAAGTTACAACAGAATATTGTGGCAATCAAAACTCACTTCCAATCAAAAGGAGAAACATTAAAAAAAATCAAGAAATAATCATCCTGAGTTTAGCATCTCCGGTTGAATTGTAGGCGATTCGAGAAGAGTAAATTTACCTATTTGATGGATCTAAATTTGGCCTCCTAAAATCTGGAAAATTTCATTTATTTACATTTTGCGAATCCATTTAGTTACTAAATGGATTCATTTTCAACTCAGACGCGATAAAGCTACACGAAAGGCGTGAAATCAACCACTAAGACTCTACTAGCGCATTCATCACAACTGACATTCTTTCTCATTTAAAAATAGAGATTTGG